GCCCTTTTCACGTGATCTCTCGTCACGAAAAGACCTTCAAGGTTGATCGACACGGCCGCGTCGAGATCGTCAGCATTGATCGTCTCAAACCAGCACACGTCGATGACAGTGCCCTACCCGATAACTCGAGACTCAATGCTAGACCTATCTAACCCCATAGCGGGATCTCTACGTCTACCTCGGATCCCACGCTAGATACATCAGAGACCTCGTTCTCACGTCCCGGTCAACAGCACGCGTCATCTGCACCATCTACGGACGAGACTTCCGTCTCACGTCCAGATCAGCAGACCACGCCGCCCTTGACCTCGGATGAGATCGCAGGCTCACGAAGCACGAACGAGACTACCGTCTCACGTTCCGGTCGCCGAGTACGATTACCCGTACGCTTTCGCGACTAAACGCACAGTCAATAACAGATACGGTGTAGGATTATTCCTATACTACACGCATGCTACACTTTTCTTTTTTTGATTTTTTTCTGTATCCTGAGCCCACGCCTCCGACCATCGTCCATTTGATAACGTCGACTTCAGTCAACTTTGGCGAAAGCTGGTTTGGCCACCCACGCTCTAGTCAACGCACTCAGTCGATTATCTGGTCTCGAATTCGCCTGGCATATGCTTGGTAGTCATGGTCGCGTCCGGTTTCCTGGCTCAACGTGGTTTCGTCCTACGTCTGCAGCGTTTTCTGGTTCACATCCCTACGAAAGCAATCATCAGATTCTGGATACAAACCACTCTGGTGTGGTATGCTAACTCGACCAACAAATACAGCACACTTCTCCTGGTACCGTTCTGCGCAAAAGACTTTCGTTGGCAACTCGAGGATCAATGATCACTTCCTGTTCCGCCAATTTCCTCCGTCCTACAACCGCAGTTCTGCCGATCAGTCCCACGAATCAAACCGCTAACTATCGAAAGTGTAAACCCTTTCTAGCGGGGGGCTCCTGTAGTGACCTACTTTTGTCAACAGAACGCGATTGGTTCGATGAAAACAATTATTATTATAACCAATTGTACCAGTGACTGTTTTACTGTGCTCGTTTGTTTAACTGTGCTAATAACAGCCATTTTAGTCTTCCATTGTATTCCGTTGCTTTTACGCGGTTTTTGACTACGCACGTATCTTATCTTGCCGATCGCACCTGTACTCCTTTGGCACGATCTCGGTATTCTTTCGATACCACGAGATTGCCAACAAATATATTACGACTACTACTATCATCTGCCTTCTGATTTTTGGCCCACCGGAATCTTATTGGTCTATTGGCAAGTAGTCTTGTAGCGGTGTTCATAGTCAAGCTCAACTCGACACCACGCTACAGGGGAAATTTCGTGGTAAATCCCCAACATATGAGTAGCGCATTAATCGAGAATAACACCTAATCACCATTGCATTATTAAACTCTAAAATTTTAAATTACGATTAAGAAATATTGATTTTTATGAAATAATGCTTTTTGATCACGAATAGTCTATTGAACTTTTGGTTTTGTTTTAGCACGTCAAACAGACACGAGACAATGAGTCTCCGGCTTTTGACCACTTTTTCAAAATTCTTACGCCATGCGGGTTTGTTAATTGTACTGTCCGGAACCTCGATTACTGTTCTTGTTCGGTCAAACTGAAGTTAATTATCTCTTTCAGAATAATAATTTACAACTCGGTAAGATTGCCGAAAGGCGGGCTCAAGCCGCCAGAGACTTGAGGTTGATCGGCTGTCCCAGATCAACCTATTACAAAGGGTTGCGGAAGTTAAGAGCTGAATTCATAAAAAAGTATCAGTTAACGGGCAGTGACGAAGAGAACAACAAATTCTTGTCAAACAGGCGTAAAAGTTTTATGACAAGCGACCTTAATATGCCCACTATAAACAGGGTGAACCTAGAAGTAGGGCCATCAACAACGTCGCTTGATTACAAATTTCTAGAAGCGACAGTCGCTCCAGCTTTATTCAAGCACATTAGAAATCCCAACAGATGTGAACTACAAAGCTCCTCTCCTCTCTCGGGTCCGATCTCCACATACCGTCATAAGGTCAGTCAAATAAATTTCATCTCGCCTTAAGGGAGAAGTGATTATGTAGTCATTTTATTCAGTTTCACGTTTGAAATGATCTATAAAAGATTTGCGAGGGCACGTTATAAGATATGGAATTCAGATACAAAGGAGACCGATTTTGCAGCCTCAGTCGATAAATGGATAATTGAATCACGGGCACCAGTATAAGAGGCATGGGCTAATTCCTCACAGTTTCCAAGTGACTCAAACTTTTATGCCCTAAACTGTCTCAAAGAAGAAGCATGACGATCTTTGGATAGACCATGATACTCGACGTTTAATAAGACAAAAGAAGAAATGTTGGAACATCGTTATCAGCCCTGGCACAGAAAGTACGAAGGGACGCTACAGGTTGGTGCAAAATACGTGTATAATTACAATTACGTAAGCTCAGCGAAATGATAGAAAACAGTTAGCTTGTAAAATTCTGGGTCTACTGTGAGATTAACATTGCTCTAATAATAGATCTAATCCTAAAATTGTAGAGTTGTTATGCTGTAACTGCCTAATTTATAATATCTTACGTGGAAGTCACATCATCGTCTACACCAACTCACTGCATCGTGATAACTACCAATACATGATAGAGAAAAATCTTAGGCTACAGAGAGAACCATATATTTAATATGAATAAAAGATATAAGGTAGCATTCAGCAGGGATCACGCCTGCATGACAGAGTCATACCACACGATCAACTCCAACTAATTCCATTCATTGTTCCCGCCTTCTCCATAATTAGGTATTTCTCCGCGTCAAATATTGAATGTCTATTTTCCAAATAGTCTCCAGTTAAGCTTTGAGGATTGTATGGTAATGGCCCAATCTGTAATCAAGCAGCTTAAGAGACTATTTTTGCATACGAGTTACACAACAAAGACAAAGTATTGAATTCCCGACTTAATTACGGAAACCACTGGATCTCAAGTTATAGAGGATGGTCAGGAAAAAGCAGAGGCTATGATAAACAATTTCGGGACCGTTTTTAGTCAGGAGTCTTCCCTGGACGAACAACTAGACCCGAATAAGAGGTCAAAAATTCGCCTGCTCATTGTGGACTTCGATCGAGACGATTTACTTAAGGCCCTTCGCACATTAGACTCGGAACAGTCATCAGAACCTGATGAACTGTGCTCTTAAATCATGAGGCTAATTTGGAAATATATTGTTGCCTCATTGACCATGATATACAATATATCACTTGGTCAGTGTTAGTTACCTACGGATTGGAAGGATGCAATCGTCACTCAAGTACATAAAATAGGGTCATGACAACTCCCATCAAACTACAAACCTGTCTGCCTCAGAAGTGTCACAATTAAGATACTAGAAGAAATGATCACAAAGGACTATAATGACATTCGTAAGAATTAATAACACGTTAAATAGCGAACAACATGGTTTAGGGAAAGGGTTCTCTTGCAAAACAGACCTCCTCATGACAAGAGAGAAATGGAGAGAGGCTCTAGATAATGAAAACTCAGTATGTGTTGTTTACGTAGACTTCAGCAAAACATTTTATTTATGGGCGAACCAATCAGATTAGAAATGGATATTGGACTTTGGCGCGAACTTCAATCATTTATTTGTTTAAGTAATGTCATGGCGTTAAAGCAGATGTCAGTTCGCAATGAAAATCTCAAATCTAATTCCTAAAGCTAACCGTTTACAGTAAATTATAACTCTTATTCCGAACACAATTTAATAGCCCTCACTGCGTCAATATCGCTTTAGCGCCTCTCGAACGTTGTCCATATATTAAAGTCTCATGGGTGAGTAGAAACAGACTGCACTTGAAGCTGGAAAGTAAGAACAAATTACAGGTGTTTCACTTGCAAACAAGTACTTAGTGTAGTACCACAACGCTCTGTCCTAGGCTATTTACTTCTTATATTGTATCTAAATGAACTCTCAAGCATAATTGAGTCACCACTGCTAATATGCTCGACGATGCAAAAATCAGGAGCAAAATAAAAGGAGACACAGGCGCATGCACACGTCAGGTAGACTTATATATTCTTATCAGCAGATTCGAAAATTGGCTGATGCCCATCAATGTGGCCAAGTGTGTCTACATGCACATTGAGGATACAATGGTAAATAAGCACGGTGCATGGGAAATGCTTGTTCCCGTCATCTGGGCTTACAAGGATTATGGGATGGCAGTGAGTCATGATATTACGGCCACGGCCTACTGATATGCGGTCACCGGTAAGGAGTTTAGAACCCTATAAGCTAAAAGATGGACATTTATTAAGTTAGGTACTATGATGGTCATTACAGTATACACAATCTTAGTGGGAACTAAACTTGAAAACTGCGTCCAAACTGAAATCCTCTGTTTAAAGGGTGACTTGGATATTATGAAATAAGTACATAGGACACCTACTCGTGCGATTTCAGAACTCTGTGATCTACCATATAAAGAGCGCATTGAAAAGCTAGACCTCTTCCCTCTGTCCTACCTCAGATTAAGAGGTGATCTGACTTTGATGTGTGGAATATTAAGAAATAGTTGTGGATCTGATGTATTCTCTCTTTTTATTCCTACTAGATCGGGACAACTCAGAGAACATAGCAGGTGATTATAAGAGTCAAGAGCGGACAAAATACCAGTGGCATACAGGTTTTCGCACCGAGTTATCAATACTTGGGATATGTTACCAGAGGCAGTGGTGTCCGCACCGACACCTGACTCATTCAAGAGAAGACAAGACACTGAGAGAAGCATACTAGAAAAGTAAGACCGTCGGCTTTCTGTTCTTACTACACAATTAAGAACCTAAAGTTTTAACCCAATAAAAGATCACCTTAATCCTTGAGATACACGAATAAGTGAAGCCGTGATCAAGTCGTAAGTTTTCTAGTGAACATTTCCCACAACTCAGTACATATAAAAATGAAGGAAAAACAGGATTTAGAGTCGTACGTGAATTGAGCGCATACTTCAAATGTGTCTTTTGGCGGGTCTGGATTTTCTCAGGGTTGCTATGACAAAGTGTGGTATCGTTAGTTAGATGGATTTACTTCACTACAAACTAAGGTGTAAAAAGGTTGTACAGTCGTATTTGGATTCGCATGTAAACAAACAGGACCTTCCTGATGATTTTTGTGTACTTGTGAGTCTCTACGTAGAAATATATATATTGTATCTTGTTCCTACTTCAAATATTCTTTAGAGAAGATATATTTAGTACTAAAACTTAACGAAGTGATCTTACGAATTTAGTGTGCCTTCCTCTGGCAAGAGTTTTGACAATAATGCTATTTAAACCGATGATGTTGAAACGTTTGTTTTAAGTTTATATATATATATATATATATATATATATATATATACTTAGTTTGTAAATACACCTAGTGATAGTTCAATAACCAACTGGTTAAAATGTGCAGTACCCATATGTAACCACTGTGTTGGAAGTTGATTGGAAAATGCCTGTGTTGTTGCCTTAAAATGTAGCACTTCTGTCGCTCATCATTATCCTGTGTAGTCAAGTCCCTGGAATTTGTTAACCCTAAAGGTTACATAGGTACTGGAGCTATCTAACGAAGTTTTACAAAATTAGACTGCTAGATTAATTAGCTTTGTGTTAGTGACTATACACTTCTGATTCCCCACTAAACGTTACTAAATAACTTGGTGAGCTTCCACTCGGTCTACATACAATGAAAAGTATTTGTTTAAGGGAACAATACACAAAGTAGGTGGGGTACTGATATTCAACAGCAATATGACATGGCACTTCGATCCCTCACGATAACATGCACTGACGTTATCATCAACTACTTCTCATGTGTTTTTCGTGTTATGATAATGTCTAAAGGAGAAGATTTCGTTTTGTCATTCTGGCTGGAAGAAATGTCTCTGCGCAACTGTTTGGGACTACAATGGGCAAATTTGAGCAACATACCCAAATCCGCAATCGTAAAATTATACAAATTTGCTTCATGTGGTTGATCTTCACTACCCGAATACAATTCCGTAAAAACAAATAATTTACAAAAAATCTTATAAATATTACAAGCAATACTGTAAAATATATTTGTTTGTTGAGAGACTATAATATAGAGTTACTTAATATAAACGTTTGTTGTTTCATTTTTCTTTTTTTTAGGCTTTCCCTGTAAATATACTAAATGATAGGTCACTAATTGAGACCATAGTTTCTGTCGTCCAGAATCGTTCTTCTGATAAAAGCGCGTATGTTTAATATTTGTTTTGTTTTATAAGGACTGAAATTTACTGTAAAGTGCTACTCTTAATTCAGTAATACATAAATTTGAGTTACACTAGTATTCAGACAGGTCCTAGAAGTAATTTAAATTTGCTTTTCCATTTTAAGTATTGTGCTCGTACTTGTGTTTATTGAAAACGCACCTTCAGTTCTTCCCCAGATGAAGTAAAGCATTACAAATTCCATGTGATGTGATTGAAAAATTGGGAAATACAAGTTTTTTATGTTGTCTAACAACTAAGAAGCTATTTTTTTGAGTAAACTGATCCCCTTTTTATAAATAGGTTAAATTCGACCCAAATCATAATGTTGTGACTTGAGGATTTATCTTGAAACTTGTACTTCTTCGCGAAATTCTTGTTTCATTTTCTGTTCAAGAATAATGTTCACAACTCATTTGTTTGAACTGTGAGTTTTCTATCATTTAGTCTCACTTTCTCACTACTTGATTCGTAAGTAGGTTTTGTGAAATATTTTGTGTATCGACTTGTGAACATTATTGTACTCATACTACGTTGTAATGTACAACAAACGATTGGAAGTTGAAGACAACTCAGAGATCGATTGTTAATGTGAAGGAAGTTCAAATTCGCCATTGATTTCAATGACTACTCTGATAGCGGAGCTTAACTCCAGTTGGATATACACAGCGATTCGGGTATCGAGTAGTCTTTTTTGATGCCACTAATGTCTCTATTATCGCCAGCTAACCGACTACTGCTACTAATACGAGACCATACTATTGACCTAGACCGCCAGATAATTAGAAATCAAAAACAAGACTTTTATCCAGATGGGCGCTTTTCTCGTGTAATAAAATAACTTGCTTATGTATTCAGAATATAAACAAAAAATAGACATGATTAAATATCGTATGCGACTGGGGGAAATGAGCTTGTAGGTCACTCATTATTTAATCACTTGTTACTGTTGGAGCTAATCCTTGGGCTTCATATTGGATAAAAACCTTTTCTTCTGGCTAAATGATCTTTTCTTTAATATCAGTTCATTTGGGGTTTGTAGCCAATATTCCGGTCACATAAAGTTATCACTCGACCTTATCTTACCATTGGGTTCATCTATCAGTCAGAACTTTATTAATTAATTTTGACGATCGCCATCCCCACCCATTCAAAAAATTATACCCCAACTCTATAACAACTGGCTACTTATAGATCTTAAGTCATTACCTATATCCCTTTGTTCTGTATGTTAAATAGCTATAAGGACCCTAATCGATGGAATATCTAAGGGAAATACGTATATGCATTATTGTTACGAGCAAATGTTCAATGTCAGCTTCTTTTTTAAATAAGACGTTATAAACGTGTAGCTTTAGTTTTGAGATAATATCGCTTAAAGAATTTCACAGACTTTGATGTATTGACTTCAGTTTTCGCCAATTAGTAAGCTCTTTATTGCTTCCGTCTTTATTTCTTATTACTTTTTCTTGGGATTTTTTAAAACTAGCCTATTTATTTTCTCTCGAACCAAGAATTTGATTTCGGATCAATCTGATGTTCCAGCATTGATTGATTTGATTGTTTTGGATGAAGACTTCTATTGTGAGGCAACAGGTAAGATATTTCTTTGCTTTTGAAGTAAGTTTACAGTTATTTTATTCCAACCATCATAATCTCGAAAGAGAATAGTAGAGTCGGAACATGAAAAAAATTTATGGTTCAATTAATACCCGATATTTTAGGAGTAAATTGTATTCAATGTCGCACTGAAATATTTATGTAATTGCTCATTTGATTGATACGATGGCTGAAATAGATGAGGTAACCAAAACCGAGTTTTTCAATTCAAACTAAATCAGCACCAAATGACAAAACCATTAGCTAACTGACTAAGTCAATTAATATTAGGAAATCGAGGTAGTATGGTGTATATGGGCTCCAGTATCGTGAGGGAACAAATGACGTATGAACCAGTCGTTTGTCACCGGCTACCATGGACTGCATCTCCTCATGATGCCCCACTGCCTTGTGGGTCAGACCTTTAGGTCGAAGGCTCCGGGTGTGGCCCCCTAAGAAAACCACCTGCTTCTGTCTGGGCACCCGGACAGTATCACAGCCCATACACAAATAAAATGAAAATGACAATATTTACTGAAAATTCTATTCACGCTTTAATTAACAGTCAAACAATTCACATTATTACTACTATTATTATTATGATAATTATTTACTACGTCATTTATCCACTCTCTTTTATTCCCACTTTATGTATCCTTATTTTTCGACTTATACAGCAGCTCATGTATGGTGGAAACTCAGTCCTATCTAAACGTTCTCGAGTCACTGCCTGGTTGAAAATTGTATGTTACCACCAAATAGGATTACTGAAGCAGTTTTTCCTGAAACCACGTGCAGCATTCAAACTGGCTGCCTTCAACGTTCGCACACTTATGCAGGTCAAACAACAGATAGGGCTGGCTATGTCTTTGGAAAGTCTTACTATCGACGTTTGTTGTCTATCCGAGACCCGTATTCAAGACTCTGGTGACGTACTACAAATTCGCTCTCCATCTGTCACTTCAAAAAGCTTGTTTTATGTGCGTTTATCCGGGGACCCTGTAGCATCTTCGTCTGGTCTTGCTGGCGTTGGTGTCGCACTAAGCGCTAGAGCTGAGGCAGCACTGATCGATTGGATCCTGATTAACAGTCGGTTATGTGCTGTTAGATTAGAAAGTTCCATCAAAGCGAGAATAAATCGGCGTGAGAAACGATGTCTTTTCGTCATCTCCGCCTATGCCCTGACAGATTACAGCCCGGATCCAATCAAGGATGAATTCTACCACCAGTTAACTGTTCTTCTCCAGAAAGTGCGTTCGACAGATATTGTAGTACTTGCTGGAGACTTGAATGCTCAGGTCGGGCGTCTAGGCTCAGAAGAGAGTCGTTTAGGTGGCAGATGGGGACTTGTTGGTCGCAAGACAGATAACGGGGACCATCTATTGCAAATATATACAGACCACAACCTGTTTGTGGCTAGCACTAACTTTCGGCACAGTCATCGCCGATGTGCCACCTGGCGTCCTCTCTCTGCATCTCAAGCCTGGACTCAAATTGATCACATCGCGATCAGCTACCGCTGGCGTGGTTGTGTACAAGACTGCCGCTCCTTTTGGAGTACCTATCTGGAATCTGATCATGCCCTGGTCTGCGCCAATCTTACCTTACTTTTCAGTGGCCAACGCAGTGACCGCCACCACAAGATTGATGTTAGCATGTTGGTTTCAACTTCTGTTGCTGGAAAGTATCGAACCGAGCTAGCTTGTAGGCTAGCTACCATTCCACCGGAAAGTATAGATGAGCATAGGTTGCAAATTCATGACGCCATCAAAACGGCGAGTAAGACCACTTGCGGCTTCGCGAAACGTCCCGCTTATAAGCACTGGGTTTCTTCTGGTTCTTTACAACTCATTGAAGCCCGTCGGTGTACTCTGGGTGAACGTGAGTACGACGACAAACGAAAGATTTTACGTACTGAAATTGGACAAAGCTTGCGTAAGAACCAAGAAGCCTGGTGGTCGGAGCGTACTAAGGAGCTGGAAGCAGCAGCTGCACCTGGTAACTACCGGGAGCTCTTCCAACACATCCGAGCCACTGGTAGCAAGAAGTCTGGTGTGAGCGAAACAATCTGCGGGGGTGACGGCATGCCAATCACTAATATCCACCGACGTCTTGGACGATGGGCAGAATTTTTCGAAGGGCAGTTAAACTGGCCTGCTGCTTCGGCAACATCGGTCAGACTGTCCTGTCCTCCATGGCCGGTGGCGACTGTTCCACCAAATGAGGCGGAAGTCCGAAAGGAACTCCAACTCTTGAAGCGCTACAAATCATCAGGCCCAGATGACTTACTTTCGGCTCTTTTTAAAGATGGTGGTGACTTTCTGGCTAAGGAACTGACTGTGTTGTTTACAAAGGTCTGGAAACTAGAGAGTGTACCAACGTTATGGAATGAGTCGATAGTCGTCCCTATCTTTAAAAAGGGTTCACGTCATTTCTACAACAACTGTGGGGGGGGTATGTCTTCTTCAGATTGCGTCCAAACTATTGGTTCCCATCATACTTCGTAGGTTGTTCAGAACCCGAGAAGGAGTGACTCGCGAGGAGCAGGCTGGGTTTCGTTCTGGTCGAGGATGTATTGATCATATCTTCACCCTCCACCAAATGTTAGAACACCGCATTACTTATCACAGGCCAACAATCGTAGTGTTTCTTGACATAAGGGCTACCTTCGATTCGTTGGATAGGACTGTTCTCTGGGATTGTCTATTGAAGAAGGGTGTGCCTGAGAAGTTTATTAACATCTTAAAGGTCCTATATACAAACACCTCAGGCAGAGTGAGGGCATACAACCACCTTTCTCCATCGTCCCATTCAAGCAGTGAGGTTAGACAGGGTTACCCAATCTCACCATTCCTCTTCAACTTTGCCATCGATAACATTCTGGAAACAGCAATTTGTGTGAAAATGCAAGAACAAAGGAAGTCTGAGTCATCTGAGACAATTGATGGACATTTTGCAAATTGAGCACTTAATATATGGTTGTTAGATTTTACTAACTAGTTCTGTAATTTGTTAAATACATTCGATTGTCCCCATTGATGTTCTTGTGTACTGCACTTCTACAAGACTGGCAGGATTCTAATCCTGTACTCACTCTGGATGGTGAGCAGATAGAAGTATTCGAGAAGTTCGTTTATCTAGGTAGCTGCATAAGTGCTGGTGGTAGCGTGAGTGATGAGATCAATGCACGTATAGTGAAAGCCAGAGAGGTTCATACCAATCTGGGCCATCTTTGGCGCCTTCGTGATGTTAGTCTGTCTGTAAAAGGTCGGGTCTACAACGCTTCGGTGAGAGCAGTTCTGGTCTATGCTTGTGAAACCTGGCCTCTCCGAGTTAAGGATGTTAAACGACTCTCTGTGTTTGATGATTGTTGTCTCCGATGGATTGCTGACATCCAGTGGCAACATCATGTTATTAATGCAGAGGTTCGGTATCGTGTGTTCGGTCACAGAGACGAAAATGCAATTGGTTTCACCATCTTGAAACACCGACTTCGGTGGCTTGGACATGTTCTACGAATGTCATCCCAGAGAATTCCACGTCGTGCATTATTTGCGGACTCTGGGACTGGTTGGAAAAAGCTGAGAGGAGGTCAGTGTGTGGCATGGTGTCGTGGTATGAAAGAAAGATGCAAAGGGCTGGCTTGTTTTGGCCCTTCACGACTCCCTAGCTGGGGTCCGAGAGATGGTGCAACACAGTGGCTAGAGACGTTATCAGATATGGCTCAGAATAGAAGCCAGTGGCGATCCTGCTGTAACCTTCTTTTACTTTCTTCATAAAAAGTGGTTGTATCTTCCTCAACTGAAAGATTTCTTCTGATTGTACCTTTCCGTTAACCCCATTATTATTATTATTATTATTATTATTATTATTATTATTATTATTATTATTATTATTTCATACACATAGTTCCCTTTATCATTTTGAAAAAAGCGAGAACAAACATTCTAGCAGAAAAGCGTGAATTCATTTTTATTTCGTTGGTTCTCGTCAGATGCTTACAACCTGTGATATTTAAAACCATAATTACATAATGGGTTCAAATTACGTATCTTCCAAATTAATAATCTTATTTTTATCGACTGGACTCTACTCATTTTATTCCTATCAATGTTTACTTGTTTCTAGCCGTTTGAACTTTTGTCACTATGTTCTTTTACATAAGGTATATATTTACAATATTCAGTCTGTTAAATTTATTTACACCCTTGCTACTTTATACTAATATGTCTTCAATATAACTTCCGATCAAACTCTTTCATGTAAATAATTAAAACCCATTATGTAATTATGGTTTTAAATATCACAGGTTGTAAACAGCTGACGAGAACCAACGAAACAAAAATTATTGTTATTATTATTATTATTATTATTATTACATTTCCTTACACAAAAATGAGAGGACGAAAAGCGAATGTCTGGCGCTTTAACCGGACCCCAAACCAATGGTGCATATGGGTTCCAGTATCCTGCGGGAACAAATGGCGTATGAACCAATCGTTGGTCACCGACTACCATGGGACTGCATCTCCTCACGATGCTCCATTGCCTTGTGGGTCAGACGTTCAGGTCGAAGGCTCGGGGTGTGACCCCCTAAGAAAACCACCTGCTTCGGTTTGGGCACCCTGGCAGTATCACAGCCCTCACACAAATCAAATGAGATTTGTGTGGCGCATATGTATTTGGTGCCTCCTTGTACCAATATTTATGTGTTAAAATAATAATAATAATACCTTACACTAATCTGGTCGTTACTGTTCTTTTTTTTCTTTTACGCTCCTTACCTTATTTTTTCTCTCTTCCCATTCTCATTGTTTTGTATGGCACATATATATTTGGTGCCCTCTGGTACAAATATTTATGTGTTCAAATAAATAAATAAATAATAAAGTAACAATGCTGTTAGCAACTTACGAATTAAGGTTATGTCTTTTTTAAACTGGAACTTTGGAAATTTGTTATTTATTTTCCTAGTACATATATCCTAATAGACGAAAATTGAAGAGATCAGTAGTTCTAGATCTTAACGAGAGTTGGTTATACTTGGCTTTTATTTATGTTGGGAAACCGAGTGGCCAAAGCTGAGGTCGGACTCATGATACTAGGTAAATATAGCAAACTAAAACGCGGTATCAATTCATAAAGTCATTGATAGCTGTTCCGAGTCGTGTTAGTAGGGCTTGACTACTCGGTTGCGGTTCGCTCGATTATCGTTAACGATTGTTGGATAAGTTAAGTGATATGGTTCAGAATCGGTCAAAATATCACGGGCACATCTACTCCTTATCTTCTCGTAGATCTTGAGTTCCGAAATTATCTTGTACTTTTTTGTTCCACGAATTCTTATTTTCTCAAGTTGTATTGTTTATGCTTTCCTTTTTTACAACTGTTGATACTATTACTACTTTCACTACTCTGGTATCTCGCCGCGGTAATATAGTATGTCAACTTAATCCGATGCACGTGTATGCCTAGATTCTATGTTGCTTGTGGTTGACTGACTGCCTGTTATCTGGGTCCCGCTTTTGTTTTTGTTGTCATGTTGAAAGTAATTTAGGTTCGCAGAATGATAATAATATTAATATTAGTATCAGCTGAAAATAAAGTTTTACATAATAGTTAGTGGTTGGTTAAATTACTAGCTTACAAGTATCACTTGGTTTCAGGTCTCAAATCGGTGAAATTATAATTTATGGACGACCTTTGAACAGCGCTAAAATGACCTTGGAATGTCCAGCTACTTACTAGGGTTAAATGAAGCTTATATGTTGGTGTGAGGAATTAGAATTAGGATTTACAGTTGGACGTCAGGGTTAGGAATTAGATTTAATAAGTTCACGAACTAACACCAGCTATAATGCCAAAATGGTATTTTGCCAAATAAATGAGTGGATTTCGCGCCAAGATCCATCTCTAATCTGATTGGTTTGTCCATAAATTATAGTCTCGTCGTTCATGTAATTACAGGTTTCACATAAAGTGTGTACAATCTTATATTAAATAAAATTTATGTAAGAATTTACAGGATTTCATGTATTTACAATATTATTTAATTACATTTGTAAGCTTCAGCAAAGTAATTATACATATTCATTTAATAAGGACAACTGTACATGTTGCGACAAAAATATTTTTCAGCTATACTAAGTTTATGAACAAAACAGATTGTTTTCATATTCTGCTAAGTGCCATAATCATTTGACACCTATGGATTGGTAGGTTTGTTAAATAATATTAATGTTATCTTCGTTAAAACTTAATTAACTAACACCAACTTTTATATAGTTAATCAGCATTTTTATAATGACAAATAAACTTACATTTGTATGCTGCTATAAGTTTTCTACTTTTACCATGTTGATGTTTGTTCTCGTCAAGTTATAAGGTCGATTATTGTACTATTTTGATGTGCATACTAAAATTTGATAGTGAATGGGTTTGGATTACTGTGGTTATATAATCTCTTACTCATTTTATTTCTTTAAACCGTTTCACTCCGTTGTACTTCTCAAGTCTAGCAAAGTTACTAAGGGATATATATATATATATATATTCACGCAAGTTTAGATTATTATCATTATTATTATAGGTTATGAGTATAGGTTTTGGAGAGATTGTTGAAGTTCCAGTTTTTAAGTCACGAACTGACCGAAGCTGAACCACCACTGAAAACCTGGAAGCACTGGACAGCCATTTCGTCTTAGTATGAGACTATTCAACAGTGAGCATCCACGACCCTGCACACGGATGTTAAACTCAGGACCTTCGGTTTTTTACACTAATGATTAACTTCTAAATCACTCGCCCGATATCCAACGGTGTTAATGTCTAACCTCAACCCATTCACAATACTACACAACCCTTATCCACTGTTTTCGGTTTTTAACTATCTCACCTGACGCGGTTATTTCGATGTATATCGTGTAAGACACTGTTCAACATTTATGTTAAGCGCATTCAGTTTGCCTATGTATTAGTCCAAAAACATGTTCGTTAATTGTTCGGTCATGAGTTAAAAAAAGATGGTAGATATCTTATACACAGTGGTTAGGGATTTTGAATTATATAACTTTGTATCGGTCACAGTGTCACAGGTTAATTTATTCCTTATCTTACTCTAGACCTTGGGCTTCCATATTCCTTCATACAAATCTTTTCGAATTATATTTTGAGGGTTTAGCCTCATTATCATTTTTGTCTATTGCTATTTATTTCGTTATTTTCATTTCTTTGTGCTAATGCTAGTGTATAAACTTAAGGTAATGCATATTTGTGACAGTCTCTATGTTGAATATGATCAACTGATCATTAATAGTTTATACAAATTTTTTTCATATATGCAAAAAGGGAAAATTTAATCAATTCGAAATCTTTACTATCAAATAAATCACGACATACTATCGACTGAAATAATACACTGAGCAAAATGTCTTTTTTTTAAAATTAATATTTTCAAAAACAACAATGGGGGATTAAGAACTAACAACCTAATCACATTTAAACTCTTCGCTGTTGTATAATTCTTCATATATTTTACACTGTACAATTATATAAGTGGTTTTTACTCTCTCTCAATGAATGCTTTACCACTTGAGCCACTTGGTACAATTCTATGTCCAGTCGGTTTGTGATACAGCTCTACGATCATCCGGTCTCATTAATGATAACTGTTCCACTCCTAACATGTCTAAACCTCCACCAGTGACTAGTTCCCACTATAGTTGCGGAAACATCTTGAATTAAGTAACTAGTGATCCGAATATTATTGTTTATTTGAAGGAGTTTTGTGGTTTAATTTGTAGGTTATATTCGTCACAGATTGATACCATACTAGGACGAAGCAACTGTTCAGTGCTTCCCAGTTCTCAGTAGTAGCCTAACTAAAATCAATGTGCGACCGAATAAAACATTTGAATAATAATATAAATTGTGAGATTTTCTAAATGTCGCAAATCCACATTAAATGACATAGTTGAATTATCCAATTCCGACATATTGTCTTTTTAATCTGTTACTTGCATTCAGTATTTTCATTTCGTCTGAAAGTGACTTCTAATGGTATTTATTTGATATTCTATCTGGTAATTGTCTTTAGACTATATCTACATTCGATCAATTGCTGATATTCTCATTGGTGATTTGATAGAGCTGATAACTATCTAATGAATAAGTAACTAGTCTAAGTCACTCATCCAATGAACAACTCTCCAAATTTTAAGGGCAATCCACTCTTTAAACTCACATCTCGCTTACTGCAACATACAAACATTGAACCATTAAAGTTTTGATATAAAACAAAGTTGTCTAACATTTTTCGTTCTCAACTACTCACTACTTATTAATGTTGAAAATTGTTTATTATTTAAGACACTAGTAAAATAACAGGCGTAAAAGATATTTTACTAAGCGAAGTACCGCAGTGTGTTCAACATATACACTAAGGTCATAAAATATGTGCTATACAAAATTTAGGGTAGATCAGTCTTGTCCCATTCAAGTTACACCCCCTCCCTTCCTCACTTATGATAGTGCAATTATCTCATTGCAATTCTCTTCGTTTTAAATTTTCCTGGGGGTCGTCGAAATTAATTCGCTTACTTCGTTCTTTCACGTTTTATCTTCTCACCATCGTTGAAGTTGCTACTCTTCTATGACCATTTTGGATTTTGAGAAAATGTGGTTGTAATAGGTTTATTAGGGGAGAATGACTTAGTATGCGTCTAGAATTTATGGATAAAATGTTTTACGATTTCATTTTGATTAGTTATTAGATAGACTGAGTGGGTTACATATCTCATCAAACTTCAGCATTATTCAGTAGTTCCGTCATACGCAACTAATGTTCTGAATAACGCATTTATGTGAATAAATGTTAAAAACCTGTGTTTTAATGGGAATTACACGTAGTATTTACCACATAAAAAATCTTTTATCTTTTCTAGACTCTGGTATTTACCTTCTTGTTACTGGAAAGCGATTGGTCAACATATCTGCCGATGAAAAGAAACGTACAAGTCAACAGCTTAAACTTTATGTTGTTTCCAATCGTGAAAAAGACTCATCAAATCCTAGAGTGAATAACACAAGTGATATTGATTCGGACAATGAAACATATTCAAAGAATCCAGTGTTTTTGAAAAGTCTAAAAAATAACTACGAGAAACCAATAGATAAAGAAAATATTCAATTTTCTGTAAGCTTCTTCCTTTTGCCTCTGTCGAGTTTCACCTTAAATTACTGATATAGATTTTTCATATTAGTATTTACAGTTAAATCATACCTCACGGATGATGACTTTCAGTGCTCTAAAGAGTAAATAAATCTAACTTCTAGCCGGTCAGGATCCGAGTGATTTAAACAAATAATTTGTCAGTATTTGGGATTTATGGGGGTTTCAATATTTACACAGTTGAAATCACAAAATGATCTTAGCTACACCACCACTGGAAACCTGCAAGCACTGAATGGTCATTTCGTCCTAGTATAAGACTCCTCTGCAGTGGTCATCCACGACTCCCCACACTGACGTCGAACCCACGACCTTTGGCCTTGCATTCGTGTCGAGTGTGAGATTTTTATCCACTGCAGTCATCAGATGAAGGGTTGCACAAGATTATGGGCTGGTTGAAGTTAGACATTAACATCTTTGGATGCCGAGCAAGTGGTTTAGAGGTTAATCATTAGCGCTTGGGACCAAAGGTTCTGGGTTCGATTCTCGTGTTCAGGGTCGTGGATACTCCCTGCAGAGTAGTCCCATACCAGGATGAAACAGTTGTCCAGTGTTTCCAGGTTTTCAGTGGTGGTCTACCTTCAATTAAATCGTGATTTCAACCGTAAAAATAATTTATTAGTTAAAAACTTAAAAAGAATTACAAGTAAGTTTGTGTGTTTGATTCATAGTTTTACGGTAAAATTTACAGTTAAAAGTTTGGGTTGGGGGTTGACGTTGGAGTGAGATTATACTTTATACTGTTATTATTAAGTACTTACGCAAATAGTTATTTGATTTTAATTTATAAATCATCATTACAACACGATGTACATTTTAATACAAGTTCTTTATTATTATTTTTTTCGACAATTTATTCACTTTTTCATTATCATTTGATTAATTCGTTCACTATACTAGTATTTCGCAAATGCAACTTCAATACAGTGAATATGACTATTTCTATTCACTTTTTCACTGCCTCACTAATTAGTACAAAAAAGACCAGTATAATAATTGAAGCTTTTTGATGATAACATCGGTACATCACTTCTAAAGTACATTTTAACTAATCAATGATATACCAATTACAGTGATTTGGATTGATGAACTAAGTATTTGTCACTAAACATAAATTATAGTAAAATTGTATTGAAAGTCCGTGAATAGAATTCATACTGGATCATAATGTAATGTTAAGGGAAATTTATCTAAATTCAAATTGATTTCTTTTCTTATAAGTTGTACTTGGGGACTGCACTTGCTTAACACATTTCGTGAGTTACTCGGGTTCATCTCTGTTTTTTAAATTAATCATTTTTATCAATTTTACACATCCTGGTATCTATATATTGGTAAGTTTTACTTCATTCTTACACAAAGTAAAAGCTTACCGTTACTGCGTTTTAAATTTCACTCAAAACTCGAAGTGTGGTCATCTTAAATCTGAAAGATTTAAGACAGTAAATTATACTTTTACTGTTTTAATGATGAAATTTTCTGCAGGACAAATGTGAATACTTGTGATAACTTACTAATTCCTAATGGAATATTTATTCTATAGAGATCTAGTGTTCTCTTATGTGGTATCTTTCACTTTGTATTTCAGTTGTCGATCAAGGACGGTTACTTACTCATGTACTTGAGTCTTCTCTTTTTGGAGCATTGACCGTTGATCATAATTTTCTAAACATCCCTGTGCTGCGCTCTCCTTTCCAGTTGTTGTCAAGTGCTATTTATTCTTTTTTGATATGTGATTCCATTTGTCTGCACAATATATTCTTTGATCTGCCTCTTTGCCTGTCACCATGAAGATCCCAAGTTAGGGCTTGTCTTGTGATGCGATTTGATGATTTCTTCAATGTGTTCTACCCACCTTCAGTGTCTTTTCTCAATTTCCTCTTCATCTGGAAGCTGATTTGTTCTTTGTCACAGTAGGTTGTTACTGATAATATGAAACTAATGGATACAGTGTATCTTACATCTTGGATAATACTGAAAAACTGTTCTTATTATCAGTTTCGTACAGTATATGCATATGTTTATTTAGTGTTTTACACCATGAATGCTTCACATTTACAATGATGTGATATGAAAGTTGCTTAAAATTTCTGGGTGCATTGTAAGACAAGCAAGAAAAATTTAGTGATTGGGGGGATTCTTGGGAAATCCATAGAATTGTCAGTACTTCAGTGTCAGCGGTTTCTGTTTAGTCATTCTTGGTCGAAATAGCCTTAATAAAAGATTTTATTTATTATTATTTCCCATACTTTTTGTTCGTTTATTTTTCTTCACACTCCCCTACCCCTTTTTCCAAATATACGCTTCATTGCCCAATCGTCTGAAGACTTCCTATTACGTAATCTCATGGTTTTTATGAATGTTATTTCAACATCTATATTTTTCAAGTCATTGACCTACTTCTTATTATGAAACATTGATTCTTATCACAACTAGTATCCCTGTCATCATACTATCAAGTTTTACTCTTCACTTATTATGTTTATTTATGCAATCTATTCCTCTGTTATCACTGATTCATAAACTGCCTTGATTGGTTTAATAATTTCCTGTATGCATATAAATATTACTGTAATGTTAAAGTAAATCCTGATGAGGATCTTATTGAAAACAATATTGTTCGTTTATATCTGTCGTCCTAATTCTTGAGAAAGTTTTATTCAAGGTGTTCTATTCAAGGGCCAATTCAGCCTTTGAGTAATACAGAGCAGATTGTTGCTCAGCATATCCAGTGTTTAATAGGTGAATGGATAAATTACCTGCATCACTAGTGTTATCTCTTGAAAAAACCAAACAAACGTGTTGTTTCCGTTCTGAGACTTTATCAGTCAACAATCTGTTATGTGCAATCGAACGTCTCAGTTACTATTGCACAGTTTTAGTTAGACAAGTCATTGACCATTGACTTTTAAAATATTTTGTACTTAACAGGAAAGAAATACATTTTAAACAATTCCATTATATTAACCAAGGCGTCTAAAAGATTATACGTCATAGTCTACATCTTCAAACAGAATCATGTTATCATATGTTTGGTTGCACAACTTTTTTTATTAAATGTTCCGTTTTTGTTACTCTTTAGACTTATTTCCTAACACTTTTGTTCCTCACTACTACTCATTTTACACTGTTGCAATAAATCAGTAGCATATATGGTTATATCAAATAGTTATGCTGTTTTTACTATGTAGTTCACTTGAAAATAAAATTTCTTATTTTTAATTTATTTTAGAATGTCAATTTTACTTTGGAATTTAATAATGTAGATGATGCTATGGAATTTCGGAAGAAAACTCTTCACTTGTCTTCCGGAAATCGAACAAAGTTATCGGAATTTAATTATGCTAAGTCATCTAAAGAGCGAACAACCTATGAGATGGGTAAAGAAGCTTTAGCTGTTTTGAATTCCTCTTCTGAACAAACGTTTTGGTTACAAAAATATTGGTATGTCCTATATTTGGAATGTTGTGTGTAGTTTAAAACTTTAGTATTGATATGATCTGCATTATTTTAATCTCTTGTTATTCCCATATTGTCGTGCTAATCAGGTATGGGAACTTGTGCCAATGCACATTTTTGCCAGGCTATATATTAATGATTTCTGTCTGTCTGACTTGGAGTTATTACAGGGTTGTGTCTACTAGTTGGTAGGAAACTCCGGACGTAGGTTTCTTGTTAATCGGCATTCGTTAATATGGTGTTCCTGCAATATTGATGGGACTGATCCTTCCTGTAGGATTCGAAACCATATAATCTGGCCTCACAGTCGGATATGTTAACGCAAATTTGTTCGGTCCTTAATTAACCTCCAATGTCTCCAATTTACGTAATTGGTAACGACTCGGTCTTAGTTTTACAATCTTCATCAAGCTGGGTTAACTCATTTCATAACGCAACAGCAATATTCTATCAAGTGATACTAGGTCTCTTTTTTAGCGTGGGATCGTTGAAAGATTTAACCTGATGTAGATAACTGAAAAAATTAACAATATAAGCTCAGTTGCTTAAGAAGTGGACTATCAAGTTTATAGGTGCAAGCTCAGATGTTTAATTTATTTCAAGCTGTCGAGTAGTAGCGTCCTTATCTACCTCACGAACTTACGGTTCACTAACTAGGTAAGTAGGTTGACTTTTTGTAGGTGAGGATCAACAGACTTAGTCTGACTCTTCTAATAGATCAACAAATCTTCATCAAGACTACAAAAATGGTTGATCGATCGTTCGTTATCCTAGACAGCAGGATGTCTTTCGACCATGTAATCGTGATTCATTTGTGTTCATATGTCTAATTTCAGGTAAAACACGTTTTTGCATTGAAGCCTAAACATTTAAGTAGTAATACCCTAACGGCTTTGTTGATTTGATTAAAAAAATAATACAAAGTCGTTTCATTAGTAAAAATCGTCTTGAAAGTAATATAGGGGTAGTGTGACAACAAAAGTTTTCATTGTTTTAGACAGCGAGATTCTAATTAATGGACGAGCCAATCAAAAGCGTTTTAGGGATTTCAATTTTACGGCGCCAACTTCAGTGCTTAATGATAACGTATGATCGGTTCACAAGGAATTTAGTACAGAACATGATAATTGAGCGGTTATAACAAATAAAACGGTGAGACTATGATTTGTGCACGAATCAATCAGGTATAAAATAACAGATCTCGGATTTTAACACGAAAGCCTTTCATCCATTTACTTACTTACTTACTTACGCCTGTTACTCCTCGTGAAGGAGCATAGGCCGCTCACCAGCATTCTCCATCCAACCCTGTCCTGGGCAATCCTTTCAAGCTCTTTCCAGTTCTTATTCATCTTTTTCATATCTGCTTCTATTTCCCGACGTAATGTGTTCTTTGGCCTTCCTCTTTTCCGCTTCCCTTCAGGATTCCAAGTTAGCGCTTGTCTCGTAATGCAGTTTGATGATTTCCTCAATGTATGTCCTATCCATTTCCATCGTCTTTTCCTAATTTCCTCTTCAGCTGGAAGCTGGTTGGTTCTCTCCCACAAAAGGCTGTTGCTGATGGTATCCGGCCAATGGATGTTGAGTATCATGCGTAGACAGCTATTAATAAATACCTGTACCTTCTTGATGGTGGTTGTTGTAGTTCTCCAAGTTTCAGCTCCGTACAGTAGAACTGCCTTGACGTTCGTATTGAAGATTCTGACTTTGATATTGGTTGAAAGTTGTTTTGAGTTCCATATGTTCTTCAGTTGAAGGAATGCCGCTCTAGCTTTGCCAATCCTCGCCTTGACGTCTGCATCTGAACCTCCTTGTTTATCGACGATGCTTCCCAGGTATGTGAAGGATTCCACGTCTTCCAGAGTTTCGCTATCAAGAGTGATTGGATTGCTGTTCTCCGTGTTGTGTTTGAGGACCTTGGTTTTCCTTTTGTGTATGTTGAGGCCTACTGATGCAGAGACTGCTGCTATGCTGGCTGTCTTTATCTGCATTTGTTCGTGTGTATGTGATAGGAGGGCTAGGTCATCTGCAAAGTCCAAGTCGTCTAATTGGTTCTGAGCTGTCCATCGTATGCCGTAGTTTCTCTCAGATGTTGAGGTCTTCATAATCCATTCGACCACCAGAAGAAACAGGAAGGGAGAGAGTAGACAGCCTTGTCTTACTCCGGTCCTTACTTGGAATGCCTCTGTCAGCTGTCCTCCATGCACTACTTTGCACTGTAGTCCGTCGTATGAGTTCCGGATAATGTTGACAATCTTCTCAGGAACTCCGTAGTGTCGAAGAAGTTTCCATAACGTCCTCCTATCTACACTGTCAAATGCCTTCTCATAATCAATGAAGTTGATGTAGAGTGACGAGTTCCACTCAATTGATTGTTCGACGATGATCCGTAGTGTCGCAATCTGGTCTGTGCACGACCGGTCCTTACGGAATCCAGCTTGTTGATCTCGAAGTTGAGCGTCAACTGTGTCTTTCATCCTGTTCAGTAACACTCTGTTGAAGACTTTACCCGGTATTGACAGTAGTGTAATGCCTCTGTAGTTTTCACACTTGCTCAGATCTCCTTTCTTTGGAATCTTGATGAGGTGTCCTTCTTTCCAATCCATCGGCACTTGTTCCTCCTCCCAAATCTTCTTGAATAGAAGATGAAGCATGCTTGTAGTTACTTCGATGTCTGACTTCAACGCTTCAGCTGGTATATTGTCAGGTCCTGCTGCTTTCCCGCTCTTGATTTGTCTGACTGCCATTCTGATTTCTTCTGTCGTTGGTGGATTGACATTTATAGGAAGATCTGTGTGTGCTGCTTCGATGTCCGGTGGATTCATTGGAGCCGGTCTGTTCAGGAGTTCCTCGAAGTACTCTGCCCATCTGTTCCGCTGTTGTTGAATCTCAGTAATTGGTCTTCCTTCTTTGTCTTTGACTGGTCTCTCTGGTTTACTGTATTTCCCTGCTAGCTTCTTCGTCGTATCGTAAAGCTGTCTCATATTTCCTTCTCTTGCAGCTTTTTCCGCCGTCGTTGCTAGTTCTTCCACGTATTTTTGCTTATCAGCTCTAATGCTCTTCTTCACTTTCTTGTTTGCTTCTATGTACTCTGCTTGTGCTTGGACTTTCTCTGCTCTTGTTCGACTGTTGTTAATTGCTGTCTTCTTGTTCTTTCTTTCTTTGATCCTGTCCAGTGTTTCTGTAGAGATCCATTCCTTGTGATGATGCTTCTTGGGGCCCAGAACCTCTTGACACGTTGAAGTTAATGTTTCTTTGATACCTTTCCAGCTATCCTCCATAGTAGTTTCTTCTTCCTTCAGTAGATCCTGTAAGGCTTGGAACCTGTTGTTGAGAGCTACCTTGAATTCATTGAGTTTGTCAGTATCTCGAAGGAAGGCTGTATTGAACCTTTGTGGTGCTGTTTGTCCAGTTGTCCAGTTCTTCTTTAGCTTCAGTTTCAATTTGGCCACAACTAGGTGATGATCTGAAGCTATGTCCGCTCCTCTCCTGGTTCTCACATCTTCCATTGTCCTTCGGAACTTTTTATTGATGCAAATATGATCTATCTGGTTCTCTGTGGTGTGGTCCGGTGAGATCCATGTAGCTTTGTGTATACGTTTGTGTGGAAATGTTGTGCCGCCTATGACCAATTTATTGAATGCACACAGATTTGCAAATCTTTCCCCGTTTTCGTTTCTCTCTCCCAGTCCATGCAGTCCCATGATGTCTTCATATCCGGTGTTGTCCATTCCGACTTTGGCGTTTAGATCCCCCATCAGAATGGTGAGGTCCTTTCTCGGGCACTTCTCTATGATTGATTGCAGCCTCTCATAGAATTGATCTTTAACGTCGTCGTTGCTATCATTGGTGGGTGCATAACATTGGATAACGTTCATTGTGATCCCCTCCTTCTTTGTTTTGAATGATGCTTTGATGATTCTGGATCCGTGAGATTCTCATCCTACAAGTGCATTTCGTGCTACTTTGGATAGCATTAGAGCAACTCCCTGAGTGTGTGGAGCATTTTCCTCTTCGTGACCGGAGTATAGCAGCATCTCTCCCGTATTTAGCCTTTGTTGTCCAGCTTGGGTCCAATGGGTTTCACTGATTCCCAGTACTGCCAAGTTGTATCTCCTCATTTCCGTTGCTATTTGACTGGTCTTCCCGGTCTCCCACATTGTCCGGACGTTCCATGTACCTATAAAAATTGTTGCTCTGGTTGTTAGGAGGGGCATCGGCCTCGTGGCTTCCGAAAGAACTCGGCTTTCACCATGAAGCGTCATATTACCTCTAACTCCCAGGGCAGAGTTTAAATGGTTCGAGTTATTTTTTCTGGTTAGCGTTTTTTTAGCGAGTTAGGTTTCTACGGGATGGGGACGCTAACCCCATGCCCAACCCTCCTCCTTTACCCGGGCTTGGGACCGGCAGTAACTCTGGAAGAGCTACAGGCGGAGTTTTTCATCCATTTGGCCAAATAAATTTCTGGCATTATAGCTGCTGTCAGTTCGTGATGAAAACCCTATGTATAATTCCTAACTAAGACAAATTATGACAATTATCAAGAACTGGATAATAAATGTATCAGTAACACTGGCTACAGCCAGGTTCTACAATATGTTCGGATGTTTGGAGAGCGTACAGATTCCTACATAGTTTTGGTTATATGCATCGTGTCGTTATCCACAAGTAGCATTTTGTGTGCTCAACAACCGAAGTGCACATAAACAATATTGAAACTATATGGTCGAGGCTGAAAGAGTTTTTGAGACTTTATCATGGCTCCAGTAGTCGACTATTCTGTAACCGTATGTATGATTTCCTCTACTGCATGCATTACGATTTTAGAACCTCTGAACCTCTTTCTAACCTTGAAAAGTTTTTGAACCACGTATAAGAAGTGTATCCACTTTATTTCCTTAGTTTTGTATAATATATTTTTACTGTATACTGACTGTTTTCTGATTGGCTAATATTTTTCAGGGTCACTTTAGATTCATTGAAAGGTCGTCCATAAATTAGTTTCGCCTTTTAGACTTTTTTTAGAACGCACTTTTCTGTCCAAAAAACATTTCTAGGATAGTTGTGTATGTGTATATAACATAAAATTGTGTTGCTCTACAAAATAATTTTAATACGTACTAATTTAAAATGATTATTTCATTCTTAAACTGTTAGTTGTGAAACAGATGTTTGATTACTAAAATGTTTGACTTTTTTATGTCAAAGCTTCACGTCTAGTTGAGTTTGTTACATGAACACTGACTTGACTTATAACCGAATTCATAAAACTTGCGCCGAGTAAATAAACTTTTTCGAATCGATTATTTTTCAATGGTTAAGATCATGAGTCAGTTGAAGCTAGACCACCATGGGAAACCTGGAAGCACTGGACGGCCGTTTCGAACCCAGGACCTACTGGTTTCGCGCGCGAGCACTTAACCACTGGACCACTGAGCCGACATCCAACAGTGTTAATGTCTAACTTCAACTAATCGACGAAATTGAGCTTCAACTGACTCATGATCTTAACCATTGAAATTACTATAATATCCACAAAACCCATTTAATATTAATTATTTTTGTTGGTAAATTTTTCAAATGAACCAAGGTAGACTGTGTATTACATTTGCTTAACCACTACCTGTCTCAACGTGCCATGGTTTCTGGTGTAAGAGTAAGTTGGAAGAAGGCTAGGATCAATCAGTATCAACGTAGAGTCTGGGACATATGTGTACTGCTTCAAGTTTCCATAACGCATTTGTATGACGAAACATCCTTAGAAGGTTAATTGTGGCCAAACCAAGACACGTGACATCAATCAATGTCATTTGGTCCGAATAGTTTTGTTAGTTGACAAATACCTAATTTGGGTTCACTCGATTGTCGTAACTAGTGATTGGACATGTCAGGTTACGTGGTTTATGATCTTACTAGCGCAAATGTATCTACTCTTTGTCTTTCTTCAGATCTTGAGTTTTAAAATCATCTTATTCTTTTATTCTGTAAATTCATCCTTCTCGAATTGTTGTCTATGCCTAGTGTTTTCTACTACTCATACTGTTACTATTTCTACTTCTCTGGTGTTTGCTCGATGTCATTTGTCTGTACTGATGTGATGTGTCAACTGCCCCCAAATGCCCTGGTTCTCTCGAAATGCTCTCACATAGCCACGCGTATATAGCCTCTGTCGGGGAAGTCCTACTCACTGCCTTCTCGTGACGGGGGTGTTGTTTACGAAAATGAGAGTACGAAAAGCGAATATCCGGCACTTTAACCGGGTTGGTGGACATGGAGAGTCCACCTGGAGGAGTTGAAAAACCCTCATTCCAAACCAATGGTGCACATGGGCTCCAGTATCCTGAAGGGACAAATGGCGTATGAACCAATCGTTGGTCACCGGCTTCCATGGGACTGCATCTCCTTACGATGCTCCATTGCCTTGTGGGTCAGACGTTCAGGTCAAAGGCTCGGGGTGTGGCCCCCTAAGAAAACCACCTGCTTCGGTTTGGGCACCTAAGCAGTATCACAGCCCTCACACAACTCAAATGAGATTTGTTTGGCGCATATATATTTGGTGCCTCCTTGTACCAATATTTATGTGTTCAAATAGTAATAATAATACTAATACTAATAATAACAATAATAATAGTGTCAACTTAGTCCGATGTTCATATGTGTCACATCATGTATCGCATCTGATTCATTGACTGAAATCGAACTACAAATAATTCAAACTACTCCATTATCCGGTAAAAGCAACGTTGAGAATAAAAATTCTTTAAGATTTTCGTAGTTGTATAATGTTAATTAAAGAATACATTAATTTAGAATACTAAAATTCCTAAAAGCTTCTATCACTTTTTAGTTAAAGTCACTTAAAATCTTTTCAATTTTTTTTAATTCTGACGATCTTATATGTTGTATCCTTAATTATACGATTATCACGTAATACGATTGCCACTTTAGATACATTGACTTATGCAACCAAACTAATGACTAATGGTTCATATACAAACAATATCAGACGACACCACACCATATAATGGAAAATAACAATTGTACAAGATCAAGTCAGAAAGTGTCTGTGATTGTTAGAAACTGCTACTAATAAATTGGGAATGTCTGAAGAATAGTAAATCATATGATACTAGTCAATAGGACAAATTAAAGCTTATAATAAGAGTTTATTATCAGAAAGGGGGTTTTGTGGATATTACGGTAATTTAGTAGTTGACTTCATGAGTCAAGTAAAGCTAGATCACCATGGAAAACCTGGAAGCACTAGACGGCCGTTTCATCCTTACGCGTTCGCGCGCAAGACCGAGAGGTCCTGGATTCGAATCCAGCGGGCGGAATCGTGGATGTGTACTAATGGTGAGTCCTATACTAAGACGAAGCGGGCGTCCAGGGTTTCCATTGTGGTATAGATCAATTGACTCCTGAATTCAACTATTAAATACGTAGTTTAGTTTCTTATTTGTTATATAATAATATACGCACAGTATTAGTTCCTAAATAGTTCTCATAAGTTATGTTATATTTACCTATTCATATGCCTATCATGCGTCCAGAAGGATAACTTTTGTAAGTTGAACAACGAAAATATAGGTAGGCACAAAAAATCTTTCAAACAATTGTGTGTGTCTTAACTTTCATTAGGTACTCAGATATTTATCACAGTAAATTTGAAAATTTTCCGGTGAAAATTTACCGTTCATATACCTGAAATGTCATTGAAAATTGGGACATGATAAATTATGGTCGATATTGACTTAACTTCAGTTTAATATGGAATTATTTAAGTTTCCTTAAGAAAACCAAATCAGCTCTTGGACACACAAGTACCTACCAATGGTACTTAAGAAAACAAGCACACTATTTCTTATGGATTATTTGAAAACAGAAAGTGTTTTATTTCAAACATATTGCTTTAACGACAGTGTGTTCGTTACGAAACTTCAATTTATTGTTTTCGGAATTAAAGTTTCTAAATTAATTCGAAGTTTTTTTAATTTGCTTTTTAATAGGAAAGAAATGGAACAAACAACCGCTTCATCCTCTATCATTAATACACCTCGATCAGGGGTGAATATTACTAGTTCTTCTGGATTAAATGGCGACAATAAGTATAATCGTCATCTAAGTGGATCTTTACCACACAGTACTTCTGATGATACATCTAGTACAAGTGAAACAATAAATATGAATAGTAGTAGTTGTTCCAGCATTAGTTCATTCAATCATAGTGTTAAAATAACACGACAAAATGAAATTGAAAAACTACCTACTACTAACGTTGATGATGATAACAATAATACTAATAATAATGGTTATAATAAAATTAAACAAAAACGATCTGTAAAACATTCAACGAAACTGCGTCATTCCCAATCATCTTCAATATTATATCCATATACAGTAAACCATTCACATGATAATGATAATCGACTATCGAATCATTTGATTGACCGATCAGTTCCACTTACTAGAAAGAATTCACCATCAATTCAATTAGATGTGGCTATTCCCTTGAATAATGATTTACAATGTGTAAGTTATAATACATTTTATTGATATATTTGTTTAATATGGTGTGACTTGCTTTTCTATACACTTTTTTATATTCACGAAATATGATTTGTTACATTTTCACTGTACTGTTAATATGATAAAAAAATTAACTCTGGTCTTGGGATCTGATCAGTGACATTAACTAGTGGGTAAATTGGACTCCAGTTAAGTTTCTATTGGACTGAAATATTCACGCATTGATTGATCACATATTAGTAATTAATTTCAAGTTAAGTCTTTTATGCTGATTGATCAAATCCTGTTTATCAAGTTTAACATTTAATTCATTTTTATATTATTTGTTTGAATCTTCCCATCGATGTTTAGGACTGCAACTCATCAGTTTCTTATTATATGTGCATCCTGTGCGGATTGCCTCGATATTGCCTAAATCATAAGCATTATAAGGAGAGATGGATGGTAATCTTGAATTCCAATATTTTTTCATATGTACATTTTCACTCTGTTTTTCCGAACTATATTCTTTGTTCTTAGTCTCTCTTATCGCTACATTATTTCGGTCTGTTTTACTATACATTGTGCTAGTTTCATCTTGTTTTGCTAATGTAAAGTAACGATTTGTGCCACTACACAATTTATACCAGATTCTATGTTGATGAAGACTGGCTGACTGAAGCTGTTCATAAATTAAGAGCATGCTAGAGCATCTACTTTGGCTATAAATCTTCTCCATCATTTAAACGAAATATTTTGGTGAATTTGTCGTCCGTAAAATGATGGTATATTTCAAAATATATAACACCGTATTTATAACTTGACAGTTTTTATCATTTGTAATAAACTGTGTGAATATGCTTGGTAATATTTTACTCATTACTTTTAATTCTAGTCAAATTTACTTGCGTATTATTGTGTTCTGAAGGAAGTTTATGTCAGTCATTCAGGTACAACGTAGGACCAGGCACACATATGCATCGGTCCAAGTTGCCACACCTCATTAGCAGAACAAGGAAGTTTATTTAAATAGGGTTAGAGCTTTTTACTGAATTCAGTTACTTTTAATCAGATCTATTTTTTGATTGTCATGATGAACTGATCTAAGTTATACCACCATTAAAAACCTGAAAGCACTGGACGACCGTTTCCTCCTAGTATGGGACTCCTCAACAGTGTGCATCTACAACCCCGTGGATCGTTGAAGTCAAACATTTACACTGTTGGATACCAACTGAGTGGTTAGATCTTAAGCGTTTTCATGCGGTGTCGAATATCCTTATTCAGTTCGCTCATGTGGGGTTGTGGATGCCCACTGCCGAGAGGTCTCATACCAGGACGAAACGGCCGTCCAGTGCATCCACTTTTTCGGTGGTAGTCTAACTCAGATCAGTTCAGGATTTCAATGAAAAAATCATTGAGTAATGTCACAGGTTAAATGAACAATGATAACAATTTTATACTCACTAATGACTAGTTTTAACAGGAAATTTGCATAGTTCTATTGGAAAGCCGTGCCCGGTGGAGTTCAACTGTGTCTGATACGAAACGGTTACCCTCTGAAGACCATGAAACATGGTCGCACAATTTCGTGGATTGATTGGTGTTTGACATTAACACCGTTAAATGCTGAATCAGTGGTTCAGAGGTTAGGAGTTTTTCTGAAAGAACGAAGGTTGTGGGTTTGATTTGTGCATACGGAATCATGTATACGCACTGTGAGGAGTCCTATCCTAGTACGAAACGCCCGCCCGGTCCTCCCAGGTTTTCATTAATGGCCTCACTTATATCAGTCCATGATTTCGATGAAATAATGTTTTACTTCAAACCATAGCAATTTTACATAACTATATAACTGTATTACATTTTAAAATTTCCAGTTAACCTGTTATTTTGTTTACTGTTTATCTGTCAAAGAATTTCTGACGGATTTTTTCAGGATTCTAACTAAAGGCTGATTATAAAACACACGATTTCAAGTGTTACAATTATAGATTGTTAGTAATTAAATCTACAGTTTTTAGAATTTTAAATATGCCAATGATATGAATGTGTAATGGGAGATTATATATTCAAAGATTTATTTCAGAAGAACTTAACTCATTCTGTTGATAAGTAGTAAAAACCGAATAGTTAGAAAGAGATTAAGATTATTGATCAGATTGTTTTGATGTTGACTATAGCTTTTAAAATTTTCCCTTTCTAATCTTTATTTCTTTTATTTCACAGACAGTCACATCAGCACATAGTTGTGCGGATCTCACTTCCGATTCTACTATTCACGATGATCATTCGAGTAAAAATAAGAATGAGTAAGAATATGAGAAGTGTTGATTTATTTTATTTTCTTCACATCATTTTCATTATGTTTAATATTAATAACCAATGCACTTTGTCATACTTTTTAAGTTTTGATAAATTCTGTGCTAAATTTAATCTGTTAGTCTAGGCTTAAACAGATATATATGTTTATAAATAACATAAAATCCAATCTGTAAATTATTGTATACAACATTATGTTGACTGGTTGAATTTTGTAGTTCCAGTTCTAATATAAGAATCTATGACCTCAATAGAGTTCAGTCATGTAGGATTTGAGACAATTACTACTAAAGCCATAAATATTGGTTCAGTAATATTGCAAATTGACTGGAGTTCTAGGTTTGAACTATTGGATTCCAACTTGATTGTGCTAAATGACCTTTACTTGACCTGAAAGCTCTGTGTTCCATGATTGATGAAGTTGTGGATGGATACTATTAAGTAATCATATACTTGGACAAAATAGTTAACCAATGATTCATGGTTTCCTAATTAAAATCAGTCGTTGATGTAAAACTACATAATTAAAATATATTATAATAGAAAAAAACAGTAATTCGATTCTAAAAGAGTGGTTAAATAAATAACAAGGAATCGCTCAAGATTTTAATCATAATTAAAAATGAATAAATTTACATCAATATGATTGATATCATAAACTATTTCTGTTGAAAAAGTTTTGTATTGTTTTCGAAAATAAGAGGATGGAAACCGATTGTCCAGCGCTGAAGTCAGGTTGGCGGATACGGAGGATCCATGTTGACGAATACAACCTACAGATTAAACTAATTCTCATTAAACTTGCACACCCCGACCGTAGCTGCTACCTTGACGTGGTGGTCGGGCTTGCCTATCGTGATGACCCAACCGAGCGGTCACGCACCCAGATCGCTAAGACCAACACTAATCTGATTTCCTTTTCAGGTTCCTCAAGAAATACCCTTCCACGGTATGGGAAACCGGGAAGTGACATCAGCCCTCATACCCGTAACAACACACGAGACCAAGTTGGTCACGTTCAACTCCTTCCTACACCTCTTAATGACTCTCTTATCTCCACGACTAACTCTTCTCACGTCCCTTTATCACCTTGCCCCACTAGTGCGAACGATTCGAATACGCGGAATGTTATTCCTGGTCTCCTGAAATCACGCTCTAAACTACACGTAGGAGCTCTCAACGTCCGAACACTGTGCCAAATAGGACAACAGGCTTCCTTAGCTAAGACTTTAGAATCTCGCTCCATCGATGTGTGCTGCGTCTCCGAAACGCGCACACAGGATCCTAGTAGTGTCATTCATTTGACTGCACCATGTCAAAGTAACGAACCAACTCGATTTACGCCTCGTGTATCTGGAAGCCCTGATGTTGCTTCCCGTGGCCTCGCTGGCGTAGGTATAGCATTGAGCCCTAGGGCAGAACTAGCTCTCTTAGACTGGATCCCAGTAGACAGTCGTTTGTGCGCTGTCCGACTAAGCGGAACAGTAAGGACTCGGAGAGACAGGGACACTCGTCGTTGCCTCTTCGTCGTCTCTGCCTACTCTCCCACTGACTGCAGCTCAGATGATGTAAAAGATGGGTTTTACAGAAAGCTTTCCGACATTCTCCGAAAAGCTAGGCGTTCAAATGTAGTAATAGTGGCTGGTGAAAAGGAAAGACAGCTGGGTGGATCTTATGGTGTCGCGGTTCAAAGAACAGATAACGGCGACCGTCTGTTGCAGCTATGCTCAGATAACCGCCTGTTTCTTTCAAACACTAACTTTAAGCATAAGGAAAAACATCTTTTGACATGGTGACCCCCTAATTCGTCCCAACGTTGGACACAAATAGATCACATCGCTATCAGCCACCGACGGAGGGGCTCGATAGAAGACTGTCGCTCACTCTGGAGCACATGCTTAGACTCAGATCATGCTCTAGTGCGAGCGCGTATTTGTCTACGTCTTACTGGACGTAGGAAAGATGGTGCGAAGAAACCCCTTAGGGTCCTACTTAATGATAGTCAAACTAAGAGTATATTTCAGGAACAACTAGAAAAATAGTTAGGCAGCCACGTAAGTGATGCCCACCCCGAGGCAGCATGGAATGACATCCGAAAAGCTGTAGAAACAGCAGTGATGTCTGCAAGTACGGTAAACCATAAGGTTATGGAGGAACACTGGATCTCAGCAGCATCTACCGCACTGATAGATGCTCGTAAACGCATTTCATCTGGCCCTGAACATAACGAAGAGCGGAGTCAGCTTAAGCGTAAGCTGACAAGAAGCCTACGCAATGATCGTGAACAGTGGTGGGCAGTGAAAGCAAGAGAGATGGAAAAGGCAGCAGCATTGGGTAACAGCAGGCAACTGTTCAGACTTGTTAAGGAAACCGGTATTAGGAACCCAACTGTTAGCGAAACAATCGCCGAGAAAGATGGACATATTATTCATTCTCAATCCAGGAGATTGGATCAATGGGCAGAACACTTTAGGGATCAGTTCAACTGGCCTTCAGCCACACTTCGGTTTCCCACGATCTCCAGTCTACGTGAATGGCAAGTTAATGTAAGTCCTCCGACTCTTTACGAAGTTGAAAAAGCTATAGGAAATCTGAAGCGTGGGAGAGCAGCAGGCCCTGACAGGTTTACCCCTGATATTTTTAAGGATGGTGGTCCAGTATTAGCAGCGAGATTGACTGAGGTCTTAGGCAGAATCTGGGAACTGGACGTAATCCCATCTGACTGGTCTCAATCACTGATCGTGCCAGTCTATAAGAAAGGACAAAAGTCTTCTTGTGACAATCACAGAGGAATTAGTTTGACTAATATAGTGTCTAAAATATTAGCTTCAATAGTACTTCGACGCCTAACCAAAGCTCATGAAGAGCAGACTAGAGAAAACCAGGCTGGTTTTCGACCTGGACGTGGTTGTATAGATCAGATATTCACACTACGTCAGGTCCTAGAACATAGACACACATTCATACTTCCCACAATCCTAGTATTTCTCGACCTTAAGCCGGCATTTGACTCGGTTGATCATGAGGTTCTATGGCAGTGTTTGTCACTGAAAGGAGTACCAAAGAAGTACATTAACCTTATAAAGGCTCTCTGCTCGAACACAACTGGTCGAGTGAGAGGTTATGGTGAAGTGTCATCAAAACTGATTACCTCAAGTGGTGTTCGTCAGGCCTGTCCACTCTCTCCATTATTGTTTAGCTTTGTTGTTGACGTGCTTTTAGTGATGACACTATCCTCATCTAAATTTCCAGGGGTTGAACTTTTACCGGGAGATTCACTTTTTGACTTAGAATATGCCGATGACATAGTTCTATTTAGTGAAGACGCTGACAAGATGCAGAGTCTGCTGACCACTCTAAGCAACAATGCAGGCATGTTCGGGATGCGATTTTCTCCCTCGAAATGCAAAATGTTGTTTCAGGATTGGGTGGCATCGACAACCGAACTAATGATAGGGAGTGAAGTAGTTGAGCTTGTCGACCGCTTCACTTATCTTGGGAGTCTCATTAGCCCTTGTGGTTTGGTCTGTGATTAAATATCAGCACGGATACAGAATGTTCGACTAGCTTTTGCCAACTTGCGTCATTTGTGGCGTAGGCGAGATATCCGTCTATCAACCAAAGGACGTGTTTATTGTGCAGCAGTTCGTTCCATCCTACTTTATGGCAGTGAAACATGGCCAGTAAGAGTAGAGGATATTCGTAGGTTACTAGTATTTGATCATAGGTGTCTTCGAAACATTGCTCCTATATCCTGGGACCACCAAGTAAGTAACTCAGTTGTTAGGAAACGGGTACTAGGTAAGGATGATAAATGAATTGATGAAGTAGTGGAACTTCATCATCAGTTGAGATGGCTGGGACATGTGCTACGTATGCCCAACCACCAAATGCCAAGACGTGCGGTGTTTTATGGTGAAGGAGTAGGTTGGAATAAAGCTAGGGGCGGCCAGACCAAAGCATGGCACAAATCCATGAAGTCACTGACAAGTGGAATGAGTCATGTTGGTAGGTATAGACTATCTGGTTGGGGTCCGCGAGACGATAGCACCCGATGGTTAGAGATCTTGAATGACATGGCTCAAAATCGTTTGCAATAGCGCATGTGCATCCACTCTCTGTGTTTTCTCAAACTCTAATCTTCTGAATTCTTCATGTCCTTTATTTTCTTTCCAAATTTATCCCACTGGGTTATACTCCTTAAATAACTTAATCAAACCCTAATGTTCCCTATTACTACTTATACTCTCACTACCTCTACCACTATGGGATTTGAATCGATAACTAAATCTCTGTGCTAATGTGGTATGGCAACTCGAACTGATGTACGTACGTGCGAAGTTCCACGTTGTTACTGACTGACTGACTGAAACTTGCTCACATTTCTAACAGTCAGAATAATTTTCAAGGTATCAAGTTGTTTAACTTAAAAAATAATATGATTTAGTGTCAAGGTTTTCAAATCTACTCAAAATTCAACATCATATTTCATTGTAATTTCTTTAACACTATGTATAATATAGTCTTATTTTCATTTGATTCTATAAGATATCTAGAACCACGTGTTTTTCGGGCACGATTCAATCAAGCTGGTAATATTATTCAAAGAAAATTAATTGAACGTATGCATGAATATTCCAAGATCGAAAAGGTTCGTATTTATGTTGGTACATGGAATGTGAATGGTCGAAGTGATACTAATGGCAATATACAATTGGATAAATGGCTCATATCACCTGACGGTCAACCACCAGCTGATATTTATGTATTTGGGTAATTTCACCTTCAATTCTGAAAATTTATCACTATCATTTCTGTTGTTAAAGACTGATGTCATCTGAAGAAAATCATCCCATTGAGAATTTATAAAAATTAGAGAACTATGGAACCATCTTGTTTGTGTACTTCATTTTGTGCCCTTCCACCGCCTGGTTCAGTTACCGTATTCGTATCATACAGTAAAGCAAATCCACTATACATATGAGAGCACTGAACAAGATAAAGGGTTTAATTGTTCAACCGAATTATAATGTGCACAAAGTATATGTCTATAAATTTGTCATTCCAATCTAGACAAGTACATATCTGAGATCTTTATTTGGTCCATAATTGGCTTCTTCCGATTTCTTTGCTTGTTTATAATCTTTCATCTGACGCTTGATTCTGAAATATCATGTGAACACGAGCACCTGATGGATCTCTGATCGCCCAGTCGACACTGTTCACCCAGTGTATACTCGTGACTAGCATATATAGGATAGTGGACTGAATAATTTAGTCTCTCTCTCTCTCTCTCTCTCTCTCTCTATATATATATATATATATATATATATATATATGGAATAGTACCTCAATGACTATGCCATTCAAATATCAACAGATGAGTCCCTGGTTCAAAACCTGTAGAATTGAAATATATTGTTCAAATACATTACATGACTATTTTTAGTTCAACTTTTTCTTAGGTGGTTTCATTTAAATGTCATGATTTTGAGATGGTGGGGCGTGATACGCTTCTCGTTGTTCGAAAATGGGAGAATTTCGCCAAAAGGCAAGCTTCCACTCGAGAACAACTATATTTTCTCCATGAGTGTCTTCGCCAGCATGTTCTACCAACAAGTGTAAGATATAGACCTCCAATCAACTGCCCATTAGTATGGAAAATAGCTGAGCAAAGTGGAAGGAAAATGGTACACCTAATGATAACAGATGCACATTACAGAATCCGCAAATACCAACACGTCATACAGGAACAAAAGATGAAGCTATAAAGAACACTCACGTCAGAACATTTAGAAATCTTGACAACAGCCATCGAGACATCATGCAAACGACACAGAGAACAAAGAAGAAACCCTAAAGAAAAAACTAATCAGGATCTCAAAAGCACCCAAGGAAGAAAACAAAAACAACTGCGTGATTAATCTATCAAAACAACCACTAACAAACACACAGGAACACCTACTCCAAAAAGGATTAAACTACAACACAAGCGACGCCTCAAAACTAGAATCACTCAAAACTTCTGGATTCAGTGAGGAAACACAACCAGAAATAAGGCAAACTATAGTACCGCTAACGCAACAAGTGAAAGAAAACAACCAACTGACCCCACAAGAACAAAAAGCCTTGAAGGAACTTAGAACTAGAAAGGATATTGTCGTAGTTCCAGCGGACAAAGGACGCACATCAGTAGTTATGGACAAGCAGGAATACCTCAAAAAAGCCGAACAAATGTCATGTTTTTATAGAATTTGGTTAATTAATTCAACTCTAAAATTGTCTGTCAATCTTTACTCAAATCCGTTGACATTACTTTTACGTTTATCTACAAATTTTATATTTGATCGTAAAATATTTTAACTGAATTATTAAATCAGAATACCGTTGTAAGCTTGTTTGATCAAAATAAATGGGATTGTAAATTGTTTTTTGCTTGCTTGATCAACTTGTTAATTGACCTTTAAATAAATTTTAATGGTATAATTCACCAGTCGATCTAAGCTAAAACACCATTGGAAACCGGGAATCACTAGACGACCGTTTTGTCCTAGTATAAGACTATTCAGCAGTGCTCATTCACGATTTTATATACGGGATTACACTCAGGACCTTCTGTCTTGCACACGAACACTTAACCTCTAGACCATTGAGCCAGCATCCAGTGGTGTTAATATCGAACTTCAATCAATCCATCCAGTGCTTCCAGGTTCTCAATAGTGGTCTCGCTTAGATGGACTAGTGAATTCAACTATTAAGATTATTGTAAACTCCACAAATCCGCATTCTTTAAATAAATGTTTTTTAATCTTAGTTGAATAATCTACATTATCTTGGTGGTTCAAACGTATTGAATCAAGATATTTTCTAAATAAAAAGGAAAGTCTATTTTCTATTTTTAGAATTTTTCTATTTTTCAATGTTTTCGGTCTTAGTTTCTCAAATTTACTGTTTTTTACTATTCTGTCATTCATTCATTCATTTTATCATAGGTTTCAAGAAATGGATTTAAGTTTCAGTGTAATTACTCTAAATAAAACTAGTTCTACTGGACCCGAAGAACGATGGATCCAACAATTAGAAGAAGCTTTAGGTGGTTTACTCAAACGACCTTCATCACATTCTGTTTGGGCTCAAAGAACAGGTTCTGTAAAATCATACGCTGCTCAATGGTCTCATTATACAGGAGGTGGTTATTTACGAGTGGAACGTGTTCGCCTAGCCGGAATCATAATGATTGTTTACATATCAGCTCGTCTATCTGCTCATTTACCTCGTGAAGAAATCTCTTGTCAAGTTGTTCCTACAGGTGTTTTCAATGTAATGGTTAGTGCTTTGTCAATGTGACTAGAATTCGTTATCGATGGCACTGATTAATCAGGTTATTTTTTCCCCTTCATAATCTACTGACCATCTGAAATTGTAATTGGGATTGTTGATGGATGACTTCTTTTCTTATTTACATTAGCATAAAAATGTTTACTGAAAAAACTTAAAAGTTTTTGAATATCACAACTCGTGATCTAATAACAGGCAATATGGTACTGACCATTATACCGCTTGTGTACAAACGATCTGGTTAATTCATATGGAATATTTGGTCCTTTTTCATTTATTAGTTCATCAATCTGGATGTGGCGAGTTTTATGAATTATGCACTCAAGATTGTATGAACATAGTTTGTAAACATTAAAATGCTGATCGACCAATACTGTACAATAATACGAAATGTGACCGAATCTTGAGTGACATGGCTTAGAATTAACCACAATAGCTGAAGTGCATTTTTTATGCTTCTTAAGTCTGAATATTCCTTCATGCGCATACCTTTCCACTTTGCCTTTTCGAAATATATTCTCAATGCTTAGTCTTTCTTATCAGTATTTCTATTAAATTACATCGGTCACTTTTATTACTCAGTTATTTTCATTTTGTTTTGCTACTGGTGAAATGATAACATGGGGCATATAGGCTCTATGTTGATTGCAACTTACGAATAACTTGAAGTCCATATCCTTCCTTTCTTCTTTCTTTTTTTTAATTTCAGGGTAATAAAGGTGCTGTTGGTATCCGATTGACCATATTTAATTCTTCTTTATGTTTTGTTAATTGTCATTTGGCTGCAGGTGAAGCGAATCTTGATCGTCGTAATCAAGATTTTCGAGAAATTACACGTAAAATGTTATTTGAATTTCCAATGAACTCGAAAAATCCCATACAATCATCTGAAAAATCGTTTATTTCAGATCATGAGTAAGTTTTCACTATTTCAATTGTATGCATTTTTCTTCGAATTTTTTTAAAAAGTAGATATTGACACTTGATTTATGTTATAAATCGTCTATAAGATGAGATTAATGTAATTTGTAGTCCATCACTAGCAGCGATACACCTATTCTGTATAAGACTTTTGACAAAATATCTATATTGAGGCGATCCTCATAGGATTCATGATTTGGAGAGCCAGTCAGAAGTAGACTAATGAGAAGGCCAGTCAATAGCAATCAGAAGTGACCTAAAGGAAATGCGCATTCAATTGGCTAATTAATGGATCAATTTCTTAAAAATTAGTTTTATATATATGAATGAGTATTTGTGTATTTTACTTGGTAGCACAATACTTTTTATCACTCTTATGTTCTCGCTCAAATAGTCAGTCGGGTGTGTAGCGCGTAGCACTCCGTGTATCAGTATCAGATTTTGTACACCACCGGTCACAACACTACGCGTATCTCAACAAAGATTGACTAAAATGCATTCAAGATTATTAATAACGAAATAATTGCACTACTTTCTAATAATAGTATTATTATCATAATCATTGTACAAGCGAGTAAGTTATTTGGACTCAATAGTTCAGTGGATATTACGTTATGCGTTTAGAATGAAAGGTACGGAGTGTGAGTCGCAGGTGTAAACGTCAGCACTAGGATGGAGGCATATGTAGCTGTTAAGTTACAAATAAGTCAAAATCATCATCTTAGTTTCCTCTGCTCACCACAATCCACCTATTCTATATAGCCTGTGGTGTTTTTCATTTCTCGTTTTTCGATTTTAGTCGTACATTTCATGAGTATAAATATACTATTTGGTAGTAGCACTTTAAACATGAAATAAGTGTTGAAGGTGTTGTCCAGAATAATAATATGGAAGCTCTACAATTAAATCATCTAGCTCAGATAACTCAACGCCGCTACCATAAAACACTGTAAACAATTAACTGAATCTCACTTTAGCGCTATTTTAAAGAAAATTGACTGCTAATGTGTGTTTTATCCTTTACATTACTAATTTTATACAAATTCGCTATCATATCAATATAATTAATCCAATAACGAAAGAATAGCTCATTGATTTATTAAAAAGAATGAAGTCAGTTCCCAGTGAAGATAACTTTCGTTTTTAGAAACTAAACAATCGTAATATTCATAGATTACTTTCTTTGCATTTGGTAATCTATAGTAAAATTCCCTGTAAATACAAATGTGTAACTTCAAAAAATAATATAATCGAAAAAGGAATTTGTCTTCATTCTTTTTAATCCGATCATATTTAATCTTGATGAAATTCACTGGAGTATGCTCCTTGAATAACATCATGAAACCTTAATCTTTTCGATTACTGTCTATGCTTTTACCACCTCTACCACTATGGGATTTGAATCGACAACTGCATTTCGTGCTAATATGGTATGGCAACTCGAATTGATGTACGTGCGTACGAAGCTCTATGTTGTTACTGACTGACTGACTGATTAAATTACGCGGAGGTAATTGTTAAGTCAGTTCTGACTAACACATATTTCATTTATTTATTTATTTATTATTTATTTGAACACATAAATATTGGTACAGCACATAACCGACTACATATTTCATTAAGTAGTATTATTTTCTAATTCACATATATATATATATATATATATATATATATATATATATATATATATATATATATATATATATCACATTTATTCATGTAAAACAATACAGTTTATACTCTGAAGCTGTTCATTTCAATAAAAGAAAACTGTCTACATTCTTATGTCTATACTTTTAAAACTATAATTAGCTCTAATATATTTTTATTTTTACAATTAAGAGAAATATCCTGCCGAATTATTGTTTTTAATCATAGAGAAATTTATTGACTATGATAAAATTTATTTGGATTTTGTTCGAGTTATTTCTTAAAATACTCCAGAAAGTTAAGTTAATCAGCTAATCATGGTAGACAAGGTAGAAATCAGAATATGAATTCAATTTACTACACGGAATAAACGATTGAGTGAAGATAAGAAGTTAATTAGAGAAAGTTTTATCTACTTTAGTAAAATTCTTGCTATAAGCAAACAAACTTCATGATCAATTGGTGTTTATGATGACTTGAACTGCTAATAATCTGTAAACACCATTGCTCTACATGGAACACATATGTGTCTATATCTGCACGTGTACCATTGTTAGAACTGAATCGATAGCTTAATGATTGATGTGTCCAACTTCTAACAACAAGGTCAAAAGTACGAGTCCCAATCCATCTAATTTAGTTTAGGAAACCGGGTTATATCATTACCCCCCACCTTCATACACGCAGTGGGATTGTTTATAAAGTATATAAATATATACTTCATCGTTGTTCCAATTGTTAAAGGTGGATGACAAATTATTTTCCTAATTTCTTATTTATATATTATTTTGATTATTAATTGTATTTACGACTTTCTATTTTCTTACATTTATCTTCCAGCATTATATTCGTATTCGGTGATTTAAATTATCGTATTAGTGGTCTGGATTCACCTAGTGTTCGTAAATCTATATTTGAAAAAGATTTTTCTTCTTTACTCAAATATGATGAAGTTAGTTTATAGTTAATGATCTTTTTTTTTCTTAGCACTACTGTTAAACATTTTGCGGTTATTGATTTCATACGTTACCTCTCCGATAAGTACGCGAACAGAAGTGATAAACTGTTTATTTCGCAAAGTTACTAATTTTGGATATTGGATTTTAAGCACCCTTTATTTCTTAATGATTGACAGAGCTATGAATCTTCATCAATTGGAGTAACTAGGATATGTAATATAACTGATGAACTATCATTAAATGATATTCTGGATACCACATAGAAATTGATTCAGAAAACGCTAGGATTTGTGCACATGAAAAGATTAGTGTTAGCGTATGATGATTCCTAATCACGAACGGTGAGGATATTCTTGTAACACGAAACTGTATCAACATGATTTCATTATGCCAGGCGACTAACACACAACACTTTATCTGTCATCCTCAACTCAATGGAACATAGTGCTCAAAAATAGGTTGATATTTAAAAAGTCAAATTTGTGATGGGATGACTTCGTTTATAAACACAGCAACCAACAGTGACCGTGAAACACAAGCAATTTAACAAACCAAAAGTGACAGTTACTAATCATGTATAACACTAAAGGTCAATGCGGAAGAATGAATCAGAAGAAAATATTATTACCGTTATCTTTACAGAAAAAGAATCCCGATATTCTTATACAGTAAAGTGAATGAAATAAGATTTCCTTAGCAAATTATTAGTCCATGCTGTTCCTACAAGTGAAAACTAAATGTTAAAGTCATTCTAGTTGATTGTGAACTATCACTGAAGACACCTTAAGAGAATGACATTAATTCTTTGTTTTTGTTGAAATTAAGATCTAGTCAAATTAGTTTTAGTGAATAGGTGTAGTCAGTTAATCTTACTACATGTTATCAAATTTGAGAAATATCAACGATCAGTCAGTCACAACGTTGAACCTGGTATATATGTAAATCAGTTCAAGTTACCATACCCCATTAGCACAGAGGGATGAAATTGTCAGGACAAATCCCAGTTTCAACCATATAGAGATCGTTTATCATATATGTATTCAGATAACCCATAAATCAATATTTATGTCCTGTTCCATTCAATAACGATCTCAACTAACAGATAGATCTATCAGACATTTTGTTTTGAATATCAACAACTGGACAATCAAAACATTTATAAAGTATTATTTGTCAAGTTTTCCTTCATAATTAATATGAATTATATTCTGTAAATGATGATCCAAGTATCCTAAATATATATCGTATCAATTTGTTGTTTTTCTCTTTTATATACTTGTTGAATTAGTTATTAAAACTTATGGAGAATCGTAATTTATTTGATGGTTTTCATGAACCTATTATCAATTTCGCGCCAACTTACAAATTCGATATGAATTCCAATGTTTATGATTCTAGGTAAGTTGTGTACACATGGTATATGAATTTCGATAGTTATTTGTTTTGTTTCTTGCATATATGGAGTTTGATGAAAGAAGTTTTTTTTCTTTAATTAATAATTCATTATTCTGTTGTGATGTTCCCTCTGGATAGATTGTTTCTGGAATTTTTAAAAAAAATGTTGACTTTAAGTGATATGAAATGAATCCTTATTGAAGGGCTTGAATAGTGTATGAGGCATGTTACGATCTGACTGAAATTGTAAAGATATATATCTTTGAGTTTCGAGCAGATGTACTTAGCATCAGATTTTATGCCAAAGGTTGTAATTCCGAACCTGTCAAATGTCATGTTTGTTGAAGCTTGGATAACTAGAAGGAATTTATTCATTTATATCTATCTAATAGTTCTCTCAGTCGAGGTGATCTCTCATACTATTAGAAGTGTATGAGTAGTTGTCACTTCCCAGTTACGCACATCATGAGAGGATAATTCCTAAAGCACCTGACAAAGAAATTAATTTAGAAGTTGTTTTGATGACCTGAGAGCTTGACTGGAGTGCTCAAAGAACGACTTCTTAAGGCCGATCGCACATGGCTTTTTTATGAGTAGTTTTTGATGCATTATTTCTGCCATTTTGAGGACTTATCACTGGCGATGGATGTCAGTGGATCAAGATAATTTGTTCCACTTTCGTGGTCGGCTTTTTCAGTCCTCTCTTCCCTAATGGAAACATCTTACTACAGTCATACCTTTGCAGTTTGTATTTATTTATTTGAACACATAAATATTGGTACAAGCGGGCAACAAATATATATGCAGTTTGTACTGTTGTAAGAAAGAACTTGCCTTATGGATTGTGAGTTTACTACTTTTAGTCTTACCGTTTGTGAACCAATTTAACTGATATGATAAGAATTTCAGAGATAACTGTTTTCATCTGATGTTTTCTTATTAAATTATCATGTTATACAAGCCTGACCATCATGTCAATGCAATAGCTACAATCAAATGGTAATTCTTTTGTTCATAACAGTGTATTACATAGAAAATCTCTTAACTTAACCTTATCACGATAAAAAGGAAAATTTAATTCGGAAAGAATTGAAGGGAAGGTGACAAAACACAACTTGATTTAGTGATAATGCTTGTAATATATGAACTCATGTGTTTTTATTAGCTTGAAATCATATGGACAGGCCAGTTGATTAACCAAATATTTTATTTGTTATCGATTAGAAGTATGAATTATGCTTGAAAATCGTCATTGAGAATTCGACAAAAATGTCCTGTGTGATTTAATAGTTACTCCCTGCATCGTCAAATACTCCAATAGATTATACATCATAAATATGACTATACTTTCGATTGGTCCTAATTTTATAACCATCGGTGGTTGTGCACTTCATAGTCGACATCATGGAGAATAGTAATAGTTAGATAACCGTTGTAAACAGGGTGGACGCCATGTCATTTGTAAGGGATTTATTTATCTGTCAATAGCTTTGTAAGATGGTTGCGTACTATCACGTGCATTTAAGTTGGGCAATGATTTGAAGATAAATTGTTCGTTGTGATATCTTAAAGTCCTAGACTCGATACTTTATAGGGTAGTGGATGCGTTCCTCTAAAGAGTCCTACACTCAGGCGAAACAACTTCACCGCTTTCTAATATGAATAGCTGTCTAACTAATATCACTCCATAATGTCTTCTGGAATCGTTGAAACCAAACAATCTAATGCCATGACTGTATATATGTAATTATAGAAAAAAAATACGTTTGATTAACTTTACCCTAAATTACTGTATTTGGTTCTATTTTTATTTAAGGTTTTAGTCAATAAGTAAACTGTTAGTTAAATTTATTAATAAGTTTAACATCATGTGGTTTCTCTACTTCATATACTTTTATCTAGAAGCTAGGTGATTTAAAGACCAACTATTAACTAATAATTTTATCATTATATATAGTGACTCTGATTAGTAGTAGTATTCTCTCATTGATAAAAAATATTTCACTTGTGTTTATATTTCACCTTAAGATCATCTATGATATATCTTCTTTCTGAGTCAATTTAGTTTAAGGTTTATTTATGTTGATAAATATATCACCTTTAATCAGGTATCAATTTGTTACATTTTATTGAAACCATTGAATTACACCTATAAAAATATTGTTCTCTTCAGAAATCTTGGTTAATATTTATTCTGATTGATACAAATTGTATATTATAGTTTATGTTACATTATCATGTATTGAAATTATTCAACTTATTTACTGAAATAACTGTTTAATTAACTTTGATTTTTAATATAAATTACTTTTCAATTAGTGATAAAAATCGTGTTCCATCCTATTGTGATCGTATCATATGGTCAGGTGATGGTTGTGAACCAATTATTTATCGTTCACATCCAGAATTTGTTTGCAGTGATCACAAACCTGTTTCTGCATACTTTTCAGTTGATGTAAGTAGTTTTTATATACATATATAGATATTTCTATAAATCATAATGCATTAATCAGGGATAATATGAATTCGATAACTATTAAATTTATTAATGTATAAATATATCACATTTTGCCCGACCGTACCTGCTACCTTGACGCGGTGGTCGGACTTGCTTATCGTGATGACTCAACCAAGCTATATTGGCTGGAATATATGTTCCTGTAGGTTTCTACTATGCCAGACAGGTCTAATGGAGAACGGTAAGACTGAAAGCAGCAACTTAAGGTCTGAGGGCTGGGACACGTGTTACGTATGCCCAACCACCGACGTGCGATGTTTCATGGTGTAGGAGTATGTTGGAAGAAAGCTAGGGGCGGCCAGACCAAAACATGGCACAAATCCATGAAGTCGCTGACAAGCGAACTGAACCATGTTGGTAGGTGTAGACTACCGGGTTGGGGACCGCGAGATGATAGCAACCGATGGTTAGAGACCTTGAATGATATGTCTCAAAATCGTTTGCAATGGCGCAGGTGCATCCACTCATTGTATCCTCCCAAATTTTAACCTTCTGAATTCTTCATGTCCCTTTTTTCTTTGCTTTCCAAATTTATTTCACTGGATTATACTCTTTGAATAACATTTTCAAAACGCAATTTTTCGTTACTGCCTATAGTCTTACTACCTCTACCATTATGGGTTTTGAATCGGCAATTGTATTTGTGTGCTAATGTATTTATGGCAACTCGAACTGATGTACGTACGTAAGAAGTTCTACGTTATTACTGACTGACTGATATAACATTCCAACTATTAATTCTTGATATGGCTTCTCTTAATTTATAAATTCCTACTAGACTAAAATACGTATGAATTTTAAATATTCTCTGTAAATTCTTATCAGCTTCTTTGACTATTAGTTCAAATTAATGATCTGAAATTATGAACAGTTCAATCGAGAGATAGATATTTTAAAATAATGTATAGGACATCAATGTATCTTTGTAAGTAAAATAATTCTTACAAAGTTTGTAAACATTGCGATAATTTTGTATATCATGACCACTTGAATTAGTTTGTAAGTCAAAATGAGTTTGCGAAATTATAAATTACATTTCCCCCAAATCCCCTGATACGAATGAGGGTGGAGAGAGCCCACTCTCTCTCTTTCTGGAAATACTCTTATATATGATTACACGTATACAGCCTCTCCCAAGAAATTCCTATGCACTGAGTAGGAAATAAAGCGAATGTCTGGTGCCTCAACCGGGTTGGTGGATACAAAAGATCTACCTTGGGGGAGTTTGGAAAACCCTGATGCACAGAATGTGTTCCAGAATCCTAGGAGAGAAAATAGCGTATGAATTTATTGAACCTAGAACCTTTGGTTTCGCACGCGAGCGCTTAACCTCTTGTTCACTGAGCCTGCATCCAAGGGTGTTAATGTCTAGTTTATTTTTCAGGAAATTTGTCTAAATGCAATTACTCGCCTGTTTTTATTTTCCACTTTACTCTTTAAATAGTTTCTGTGCCGTAATTTGCACTTTTCCTTTTAATATAGTGTTGTTTCGTGTTACGATCCCATTCAATTTTAGTACACTCTTCTGATCGCTTGATCAACTAGGTACTGTGAATACGAGAACTAAGAGTGTATAGGAACTTTTAATTTTCAAAGTCCAACTTCACATCTATATAAATCACTCACTCAGTTCAGACTATGAGCTTATGTAAACAATATGAATTGTTTATTTGCTCCCAATGATCTGTCTATATGTGCATTTTTTATTTATCATCTATCTTCTTGATAACATGTGGTCAGTCTGATCTTGCAGCATTATATGAATCATATAATATTGCCCGGGGTGTCATGAATTTTTTGTTTTTTCCGCTTAGTTATTATCCAATATCTGTTGTATACTTAAAATAAAGACTGAACAAACCAATTTCAATATTATTACTTTACGGACTGGTTTATCTCGGTGTTAAGGACACTTTTTTCTCACATCTTTATTCATACATTTTTCAAAACCTTGTGTTTCCCTGTTCATGGTAAGAATTCGATGTAATAATGTTAACGTTAGGGTGTCATCTATCATTGATGCATTGCTTTAAAAGTTATTGTATATTTCTTCTATGAAATACCAACAATTAACTGATAATTATGGCTCATACCGTTGTTTTACACTGTTACTAAGCTTCAAAAGTTGACAAAGTCAGATAGAGTTTTGTTACTTTTGTTTGATAAGTTTAAAATACTGCCAGGGTAAGAAAGTGGAAAGTATAACAGTCGAGCTGTAAAGTGAATACAGTGTGCTTCTGTTTTTTTTTATTATAAATTCCGAACAAGTGAGCTACCAACAAAGAAATTGTTAAATGTACTCAGGTAGTTGAGTCTAGAATAAAATGAACCATCAATTATTTGATCTTGTCATTCTTTTAGTTATTTAACTAAAAATTAAGCCATATTACTCTATGCCTTTCAATTAAATGAATGTCAGAAATTAAACACTTCTCACATTGGTAGGCCTGGATGATCATCGCGGTATAACGCGAATTGATCAAGGTTAGCATTGCGTTATTGGATTGTAGTTATGTGGTTCTAATAATTAAATGTTCGTGGCAGGATCTAAAAGTATTAGATACGATTTCTTGAGACCTTGTGGGTCTATACTGTTGAAGTATCCCATAATTGAGTGGAACAGTTGTCTAGTCTTTCAGGTTTTCAGTAGTTTCTCAGTTATGATAAAACTTTGACGTATACCTATTGTCGAATCATAAACTGTTTATTTTTTAGATCCATATATATATATATATATATATATATATATATATATATATATATATATATATTCATCCGTTTGTTCTGTTTTTTTTCGATCTAGTTGCGTCGTATAATACGTTCAGCATTTCAACGTGCTTATGAATCCGTTTTACTCAGTATAGATTTAACCACAAACTTATCACTTCCACAAGCTGAATTGGATAAACAAGAATTAGATTTCGGTTATGTACATTTTCACGAATTATGCAGTCAATCATTAACTTTAACTAATATTGGCCTGAATGATTTCCAATTTAAATTCTTACGTGAAGGTGTTGGATCATTTCCACCATGGCTTTCAGTTAGCCCATCATGTGATTCCGTGAAACAAGGTATATGTTTACATGAGCAAATGAATGAACGATAGTACAGACAGCAACTAACTTTGTAAAAGGATTTTTTAAATGTGATTATTATCACTATGAAGTTCTAATATCTGCTTACGACATTACTGAGAGTGTTATATATAACTATTTTTACAGTGGTCATGCTTTCTTTATCATTAGGAAGGACGAGGTGATCTCCATTGTTGTTAGGAACTTGTGAGTATTTGTCACTTCCCAATTATTCGTGTGTGAAAGCTACCTCCTGTAGTGTCCGTTAGAGAAACTGGGTTGGGAGTGGTCTTGATGACTTGGGAGCTTGAGCTCAGTGCTCAAGAGACAATTTCATGAGGTTTATCACATACGGGATTTCTTTGAGTAGTTTTAGATGTGTTCTGTACTTTCAAGCTTTTACCACCGGTGATGGATATCAGTTTGTCAAAACGAGGTATTACATTTCTTAGTTTGCATTTTCATCCACCTCCTTCCGTTATTGTTAAAGTGGCATCACTACAGATGTTGGTTTTGTGACGGAAACGACTTACTACAGTCTTACCCTTGTACTTGTACGAATTCGCCTTGTTTACCATAGGGTTGCTGCCTTTAGTTTTGCCTCTCTCTAGCTAATCTGATTGATGTGATGGGACTTTCAGAGATGAATGTCTCAGTCAATGTTGTCTGATGGGACCGTCAGGGTATGCAAGCCCTTCAGTCTGGATTTAGATGTAAACTTATAAAATATTTGTTATGCTACTGGTACACTGGGTCATCTGCCAGAGCTTATTGCTTTCTGTTTCTGCTAATCTCTGCCATTAGGAATAATTGAGTTAATATGCAAAAGCGATCAAGTTTACTGTAAGTAGTAAAATATGTTGAACCAATTTTTGGGTTGGCCTATGTTTTCTATTGGTTTCCAATTTCGGGTTGGAAATTATTGTCTGACTAAACAATTAATTTGATAACATGTAAAAATGAATTCACTGGTTGCTTAAATGAAAGTTAATACTTAGTTATCATCCAACTTTTGTTATCTTCATCCAAACAGAAAATATGTAAAAAACATTGATGTGGTAGTTAGTGTAACTTGATCAACCACCATTTACCGGTGTGGTCAATACTCCATCATCGCCTTATCAGGAACACACTTTGTGTTGGGTAGTGATAGTATAAGAGGTGGTTTTGTTTTGATAATAGTCTGAACCCCGTCATCTACTTCGATTTGTGTGTCTGTTGATTAATAGTAGTATTATCAATAGCCATCGAATATAAACTATATCTCTCAAAGCTCAGAATGCAGACCTGCAATTAGTGAACGCGCTGCATAGCACGATTTAAATCATTTCTATAAAAGTATATTTCGCATTTTCCAATGATAGTTAAGATTAAGTTCGCTTATTATGGCTTGATTGGTATCTGCCTGTTGTTAGTCGGCAGGAAGCACCATATCCATCATGACTACAAGTACGTACATATCACTGATGCCTACCAATTGATACAAAACGTAGATTAAACAGGATATTCTGCCAACTACTTCCAACCATCTCAACATACTGTGCATGATGTTGAGCTAGTTAGACTACTGGCTAAATCACAATCTAATCAACATAATTCGATCAATACTAATGAACTAAACAAAAATGATATTGTTACTACTCAGTGATCGGTCTGCTGTCTGCCTGTCGTTCTGTTCTTGAGGTCATTGAGAAATATTTCTGAAATTATAATTATAAACCCAACTCTGTAGTTTATTTACTTCGAAATATAATTTTGCATTAATCTGGATCGAATTTTCTCCTTGTATGTTTTACTAACAGTCTATTTAATGGATTTTATTTTCTTATCAAGACTTATGAAGACATCTTAACAAGTCTCATTGTTTTATGGATCCTTTCCCATGCAAACTATAGTTTAAGCTCCACGCTTCACTGGTTTGTTGTCATAGTATATAATCTCCTATTTCGTTACGTATTTACTTGAAATGGTAATCGGTTCTCTGATTAAGGCATTTGACTTTCTGTCATTGAGTTGCTGGCTCTAAACCCAATCCAATTATATCCATTTATCCAACCGAGTAGTATTATTAATCCCTATACTCAAAGCCAAATGCGTGGTTATGAATATGATAAAATGAGTTTTTGAAAATAAGAAAATAAGAAAGAAATTGTATCAAATCGATTATTTTAAAGCTACTTAAAACAAAAATTTTGTCATATGACACATATTTTTCAGCAATCATCATTTGTATTTTAAGTGTTAGTTGTTTTTAATTTCTCTTACAAAATATAAAACAAAATTTATCAGCTGGTATGTAAATAGGCTCCAGGATCCTGAAGGAACAAATGACCTATGAACCAACCGTTAATCACCAGCTACCATGGGACTGCATGTCCTAATGCTGCTCTACTACCTTGTGGATCAGACCCTTAGGTTGAAGGCTCCAGGGGTGGCTTCCTAAGAAAACCACCTGCTTCAGTCTGGACACTTGGGCAGTATCACATCGCATATGTATTGGGTGCCTCTTTGTACCAATATTTATCTGTTCAAATAAATATGTCAAATAAGCTAGACCAAAATTAAAACCCTGGAAACACAGGACGAACGTTTTGTCCTAGTATGTGACTCATCAGTAATGTGCATCCAAGATCCTGCACGCGGGAACTTCAGTCGTCCACTGCTTCCAGGTTTTTAGTGGTGGTATAGTTTACATCGACTTGTGAATTCAGACGTTGAAATATTACAATCTCCACAAATCCCCATACTGATTCTTTTTTGTTTTGAAATTAGTTACTGATGTTTTTTCTATTTGTTAAACGTCTCTTCATTTTTTTTTGATTTCTTGAAGGTATTTCTATTAAATTAGAATTTCAAATATTTGTTAATTATAAAGAAGTGTATGCACTGAATAGTGGTACTATTCAATTATCTACAATTGTTGTATTACAATTAGAAGATGGGAAAGATTATTTTATTTCAATCAATGCTCAGTTCATTCCAACAAGTTTTGGTTTACCATTAATTCTATTATTAAGTTTAGAATCAGAGCCTGTAAATAAACTTTCCGTTAATGAATTACAAGATCAGGTGAACGAGAAATATTTAATCTTATAAGCATATATTTTCTTTTAATATTTCGTACATGTTTTTTTCGGGTGTGTGTATGTCGGAGGGGTAAAGGATAATGGTTAATTTGTTAAAGCCATATTCAACTTTTAGACACAATGTTTTAGGTATAAACTCTACTCTAAACTATTTCAGTTTGAGCTATTGAATAATGTTATTAATCGTCACACACACTTGAGATTGTGGTTCAAAGTTGGTTACAAGTGTCTGTTGTCGAGCCCCGTGGTAAATGAATTTATAAATGAAAGACAAAAATTTCGAACAATGAAATGGAATTTTAAGTTGTGGGTATTTTGTTTCATTTTTGACTTACTGATGTTGCGTTATTTATATTCATATTGGAAATCGAACCCAGTACATAATAGCTTGCACACTATCTCATTATTCACTGAGGTACTGACTGAGTCACAATATCCATTAATAAGTTTATATAGATGTGTGTGGATTCAGTTTTCCCCAAGAGGTTGTAGTGCGCTTCTTGGACTCCATTACTATCCGGTATCCAAGAGTATAATAAACATTCATCTTGAATCAGCATTAAGGCATTCTCCAAGTAATCTATACTTCGACACAGACTGACTTAATTCTGTCTTCAATATGAAAAATGGGGAAACGCTATACCATTATGGACAGTTTTTTGGTGATTTCGAGACAAACGAGAGGTATTTTCTGTATATGTGATATTTAAATTGAGAAGATAACTCCTCATCATGTGTTTTGAATAATTACTTTATCAAATTTTCTTCCATCTGACGTTCTAAATTTGAGTAGTATTATGTACATAACCTGGTAATTACGTTAGATATCCTAGGTATTTGACTCGAAACTAGTTGATATCCTTGCGCTATCCTATTTTACATGATCTTGTAATTGTTTACCGTGAATTGAACTGTGAGTGACTTTACTTACAGAGAGACTATCCTAATGACCTGACTAAATGACTTGTTAAGCAACACTGATAAGCTTCCTTGATAAGTCTCATTCATAGGTGAGAGAAATAATAGAAATATTAAGCTTTATATCTGATGATTCGTTTGACCCAAAAGTCTACATAAATAAATATGCCAACAACTGAAGCACACATCACCACAATCTAAAAATCATACCGAAGTAGGGCATTTAGTTTACAGAATTGACACACTAGGTTTATCAGATTAAATTACAGTTATTTGAGAACAAATCATATGATTTTACCTTATAAGTCAAACAAGAGCTTTCAATTAGGGAAATCGTAAAATTATTTGAACCAAGTGTACTTATGTCCAAAAAGTAGTTTTCATTGTTTGTTGTCCTTCCTCGAATATATCTCGCCACAGCGTATTCATATATTAGTTCTTTTCACAGTTGTCAATCACTAAATATTTCTCAACTAGGGGATTTTTAAAATGACTGTCTTTTTTAAAAAAACTATGACGATAGTACACTTGTACGACCAATATTGTATTTTTCACTTTTTCTTCACTCATAGATTAACGTAGGTAGCTTTAATGATAACGTTGTAGCATGAAAAGTCTTCCCTTGGATTCTTAAGTCTATGTCGTAAAATGTTCAATTTATTGAGGACAAAAAAGTACAGAATGACAGTCTATCTAGTAATTTTTTTGCTACATTGATTGTCTAGGTGTTTAGAGATGATGACATTGTTCGTAGAGTCGTGAATAGATTAGGTGATATTTTAGATTTTAAAACTGTTCTAAACATCCATCCACAGTCGGTTGGAGCATTGATTAATAGAAAACACTAGGGAATGTCCATGGGATTTCACTAGTCAGTCACAAATCATGTAATTCTTAATTCAAGTCATACATTGTTATACAATGTATTTAAAAATTTCCTTCATTCGTTTTCACAGTCATATGCCAAGGAAAACTTGATACATATGCTAATCGGCACAAGTTGCCACGCTACACCTATGTACCCAGTTGAAATTATCAAGACGAGTCCCGGAGCAGTAGAAGTAACTGTAATGTCAATTGTTATTATTTGTAGCCGCTCACTAATATCAATTGATAAAAACACCAATCAGAATCCGTTTCAGTACTAATAATCTTGAGTCGACGCTAAGCTCTTATTACTCCTTGATTCAGTAGCTTTTCTCCCTGCCTTGCCATCGAGTGCAGAACACACTAATATTATATTCCCGACTTACGTGGTTTTTATATAAGCAGATCAGACCGTATCACACCATGAAATGAAAAATAGTCATCCATGATCAAGCCAAAAGTGGCTGTGAGTATGGTAAACTGTAACTAATAAATCGGAAATAAACATGGTTAATCGTATAACAGTAGCCAATAGGTCAAACAAGAGGAAAGCCTATATATATATATATATATATATATATATATATATATATATATATATATAGTGGCTTAATAGTTATCCAATAAGAATGTATGAAATAATGGTGCATAACTAATTCCTAGCTGTGATCAATCATTTATCCTTCGTTTGAATATGATATCAATTTATCCTTTTATCTATACTATTGTATCGAGTCGGTTAACATGAATTAAACTAAAAAGAATAATTAATAAATGTGATAACAAAGTTTAATTTGAAATTTATCTTGAATAGACATTACAGTATTATAATGAATAAATAATATTATGTTTAACTGCGAACTTTACAGTAAACATTACATTGTATTTAATGTCCACTTTCCAGAAGTTCCATAGTTGACGAGTCCAAAATAGGACGAAACGCGCGTCCTGGATTCGACTGCTAGCCACCGTCCACCTCTACTTATGTTTAATAGTAAAGTTCTTTTTGAAAAAACATCGTTCAAACTTATTGTTATCATATAATAATATAAATTTCTATGTCTGCTTATACGGTTTTCGCGAAATACGATTGCCAATTTAGATACACTGACTTATACAATCAAACTAATGATTCATACACCAGTACGATCAGCCTAGAGTTCTGATTGGCCCATTTTCCGCCTAGCCCTGGCTGTTAAATCCAGGATACCAATCTCAGCCTCTACGATACGAGTCACATATTTCAAACATAGTTGGTTTATATACAAGTAAAATCAGACGACACTACACCATATAATAAAAAATAACATATGTACAAGATCAAGTCAGAAAGTGTCTGTGATTGTTAGAAACTGTTACTAATAAATTAGGAATATCTGAAAAATAGTAAATCATATGATACTAGTCAATAGGTCAAATTAAAGCTTATAATGAAAGCAATATGAATATACATATAATATAATTACTTAATAGTCATACAATAAGTATATGCGTATATTATTAGTCAATAAATAATTACTAACGGTTACCACTCATTATTCTTTGTCCGGATACAATAATAATAATAATAGATGTATTGTTTTTATTAATTTTACAATAATTATTCTATTTTGTATTAAATGTACTTTTACGTGTTTAATGGAACTCATGGATTACTTTTAACGTATGGAATTTCATTTATTGTTCATGTTTAACTTTTTCTTAATATCATCTACAATGAGATTTTTTTTCAATTTAGAACTATAGATTTATTGAGCTTTGAATAGTTTATTTATTGTAACACAAAAAATGATCATGATTTTGAATTTTATAACTGTAGATCCAGATGAAGATCTTATTGCTCTCATACTGTTTTATTTTTTAAATATAAATATCTAAAATGTGTGTTTTTAATGTTATCTAGTTATAATTGAGTTATTTCCAGGTCATGATTGATCTTATCATCTAATCAATTTCCTTCTGAATATCTTCATATGTTCATTTAATCCTTACTTTTTTTCTTTCTTTTTCACTTTTTAGATAAAGTTGGCTCGTTCAGAAAATAATGACTATTTTAAAACAAAATTATGCAGTTTAGTTGATCGGAAACCATTTCATGTTCCTAAAGAAATCTTTCGTCTTGTAAATCATATAAATGAATATATAACAGAAGTAAGTATAAGAAAATAATCGAAAAAAGATTTATCACAAGCTATTATCAATAAAATAAGATCATTAGAAAACATATTTAGTGAATTGAATATTTGTTTCGTTTTCAGCATGCAACTGGTAACTCCAATACCATACCGTTGACCTTCAGCGAACCAAGCAGGGTAGAGTTGATGTTTCCAGGTTTTAGCGCAATTTCGCAAACGCAGTTATAAATAAATCTGTTACGTATACAAATTTTTTTAAACTAGATTTCGCATTTTTGACCGGTTTAAAAGATGATTCAACAATATAGCACTTGTAGGAGATCGGTTTTTTGTGAAACAGTATTTTATGTGATTGTGGTCAAGAAACGAGAGACTGGAGAACCGATGGACGATATTATTTTATGCTACAAATGATACTAGTCAAACGAGTCTATAAGGCATGGTACAGTCATTTAGACCAATTTTTGTACCGTACTTACTGCGAGCACGCTGCAAATAAACCTATGAAGAATCTCGACAAATTTGTAGAAACTGTTTAGTCATATTAATTTTTTTTGTAGATATTCATATTGTAAATGTCATTTGCATCACCTTTGTTCTAATAACTTCAGTTATGAGTTGGAGTTTAGGAGTTTCAAGGTTTATGAGTTGTTAAATTGATTAATCATGTCAATGCTTTTAATCATCTATGATTTCGACATTCTTTTGTATTTTAGATAGCTTTCTAAGGAAGCTTGCTTCATTATGATTGTTTATCCACTCATTGGTTGTTATTAATATCACTCTTAGAATTACTGAAAGTCGCCGTTATAATTTGGTCTTACTAATGATTCAATTCATATGAAAGTGTTTATTACTGATTGATAAACATGTATCCCTAGTATATATGTTTATTTTATCCTTGCTCGGTGTGCTCAACCTATTCTAGGTTTATCAATGTTTCTTATTAAAAATCTTCTGACTTGGAGTCTTAACAGTAGTTTGTTAAAATGAGCTTATCCGAACCCTGTTCAGATTGTATATCAGTTTGTGATAAGAAAACAGAGCCTTGAAAAATATTTCTAGAAGTTTTTTTCTCCTTTTTTACAAAAACAGAATAAGTGATTATGCTAATAAAGTTTATGCACTAAATAGCTTTCAGTGTAACTTACATTTTGTAGTCAAATATCAGATGTGATTTCCATCTAATTTAATGTATATATGCTCCTTAAACACAAAGATTTAATTTTGTTTCCTTCTTCCACTTTTAACAACAACAATAATATATAATAAATTTAATTTCTTTTGAAGCCTGATCTATTTCGTCAAATGGGTCCATCTTCTGACATTGGGATAATACGTGATATACTGGATACAACTCCAGCTAATTGTCCTTTTCGTAAGTATTAATCTACAAAACTGATTTAATATCAATCTATTTTCTTATTCATTTGTATTGTTTGTTTGAATCTTCACATTGATGTTTAGGACTGTGGTTAATTAGTTTCTTATTGGCATAAGTTTATCTTGTACAGATAGCCTCGATATGACCTCAAATCCCAAGCATTATAAGCGGAGATAGATGGTAGCGAAACGCGTACTTCCTGAATCGAACTGCTAGCCACCATCCATCTCTGTTTACTATACTGTTTTTTTATTGCTGAGTAGTAACAGTTAGCTTCATAGTAGTTCACTTTCATTTATTTATCTATGTATTCTTCTTAATGATAGCTCATTTGTGTGTATGTGTTTATTATTTTTCTCATTCTCATCCTCCCTTCACTACTATTTTTCTCTCTCATTTAGCTGAAACAATTTCTGTACATTCAATTACATCGTCTTTATTATTGTTTTTGAATACACTCCCGGAATCTGTGATACCACAAGAATTTCATGAGAAATGTTTTAATTCATTAGCAAATTTTGAATCTGCTGTACAGGTAAATGTTTGCTTTGTTCGGTTTCCAATTTGATTGTTGTTTTTATTCTCTCTTTGTGTTTAGTTACTGTCTCATTATAATTTGTCATGTTTTGTATAGCAAGAGTAATCAATAATCAAAACAAACACTCATCAGATGATAATCATGCTGTTTTTATTTTCAATGATTTTAATCTGTGAAGTAGAAAGCATGCTTAGGTTATAGATTTTCAATTGTAAGCATCTTTGAAACATTGTACACTTATTGTGGATCAGTCGAGTGGGGAATTTTCGTGTTAAGAATAAGGTATTAGGCAAGGCTGCACAAACCAGCTGATGAAGTAGTGAATCTTGATCGATTCAAGCGTTTAAGACATGTAATACGTATACATAACCATTACTTACCTGAATAGTTGATGTTTGCTAGTGCAGAAATGCATCATAAGAAAGCTAGAACCCGTTGAACGAAAACAAGTCTTCAGCTCACGAAGTTATCAAATGCTTGTATGAACCATGTAAATAGATGTAGATTAGTTAGTTATGCTCCTCACAATAACCACCATCATTTTTTTTAAAGACATTAGATGATTTGGCTAACACTCGATATTGAGTTCTAATATTCTTTCATACAAACGTTTTTATTGGCTTTTTTTGTAACATTTTCTCAATGTATACTATTTTTTAAAGTAATTCGTACATTATTTCAGCTCCTCTATTGTTCGCATTGTCAGTTTCCTCACTTGACGCTTATGTGCTTTCTCACCTTGGTTTCAAGCACATTAGCTCCAGGTATCACGTTGATTGTGACTAACCAAACTACCACGCTATTCATAACCTAGATTGGTTAACTTGAAACAACCAATAGAAAATCTTTCTACTCCAGTGGGGGTTACAACTGATTTATGACTTGGGATCTGATCTTAAGCAAATGAGTTCGTAAACTAGTTAACCTAACAGTTTTCTCCACTATTACACTAAATATACCGCTAAAATAATGTTGTATGAGAATTTCTACATTATTGTTTAGTTGCACGATTTTACTGTGTTTGTAATAATGATGAAACATTGTTGACTTTCATGAAAGTTTCAATTTAATTTACATCTTGTTACAGTTTCTAAAACAGTGACCTATCTACTTCAGCTTGTAAGCTGATTAAAATCTATCTCAGTGATACCTCACCAACTGCTTTATATCATTATTTTATATTTACATTCGAAATTCAGTTATATAACTTGGTAATAATTAGGTCTATTATTTCTTGTACAAATGACCTGAATTCTATACTTTATTTATTTATTTTATTTGAACACATAAATATTGGTACAAGAGGGCACCAAATATATATGCGCCACACAAAATCTTATTTGTGTGTGGGCTGTGATACTGCCAGGGTGCCCAGACCGAAGCAGGTGGTTTTCTTAGGGGTCACACCCCGAGCCTTCGACCTGAAGATCTGATTCACAAGGCAGTGGAGCATCGTAAGGAGATGCAGTCCCATGGTACCCGGTGACCAAAAATTGGTTCATACGCCATTTGTCCCTTCAGGATACTGGAGCCCATGTGCACCATTGGTTTGGGATCCAGTTAAAGCGCCAGACATTCGCTTTTCGTCCTCTCATTTTCGTGAACAACACCGCCACCACGAGAAGGCAGTGAGTAGGACTTCCCTGGCAGAGGCTGTATACGCGTGGCCATGTGAGAGCATTTCGAGAGGCCATACCAGGGCATACTATACGATACTACACGTAGGTAATCGCTTTTTATATAGCAATGATTCAGTTATTATTTATTGTTATTTTTATCTCATATATACATAATGAATTTTCTTATTTGATATTTATGTTGTCACGTTTGTGAAAAATTATTTTTCTTTCATTCTTCTTAAATACCATAGGCTTTACAGTATCTTCCTATTTGTAATCAAAATTTATTTTATTATTTAATCACATTTATGCAACGTTGTTTGACTTTCAAAGAACAGAATGGTACAGATATCGATCTACTTGGTAAGTTAAATGAAGACTTATTATTACAATAGAAAGTTTATGAAAATTATTGAATCTCATAATTGATTTTAATTTAACGATCATTTCAAACTAGGAAGTATTAAACAATTTTATACCAGTTCCATAGTTGAAAGGTTAATTGTTCACCGTGAAATCCGAAAATGCCCACTGCTGAAGAGTTCGATATTAGGATGAAACAGCTATCAATTACTTCCTGGTTTATAGTGTTTACCTGACCAACGTGTCGATCTGTTGGGTATATACTTCTTATGCTGATAGATATAAGAGGTATCTATCAGAAATTAAAAGTATAATTTTTACAGACAGAAGAGGAAAGTGAAAAAAAAATAGAGAAAGGAAAGCAGAAAGCAATCGAAATGATAACAGGGATGGAAGAACGATAGAATTTGTTAGGGATAACTCAAGGAAGATGAGCAATTAGTGTATTTTCATATTTTTACAAATACAATATGTAATTTTGCATGTTACAATAAATTGTTTTACTCGACCCAAGTTCATTTTATGTCAAATATTTCATTGATATGTGATTTTCGTACATGAAATAATTCATTTTCTCTCATCAATTATTCTCTCTCTCTCGATATCTATTCATTATGAACTTTTTGTGTCAATTATCCGGACTTGCGTACTGTTGTCATATGACTGCATCAATCTCATGAGGTCAAGTAATCAACTATCCATTTATTACAGTTACAAAAACTATTCATACTTGTCTTTTTCAGTCATTTTCCTAATAAGAATGGCTTTAGTAAATAATACGATTGTTTTGTGATAACAGCATTATTTTTTCTTCTTTGTTCTTTGCGATTCTCCTCCTCGAAATGCAAAATGTTGCTTCAGCATTGGGTTGCATCGACACCTGAATCAATAATGGGGAGTGAAGTAGTTGAGCGTGTCGACTGCTTCATTTATCTTAGAACTGGTTTACTGTTCGTTCCGTCCTACTTTATGGCATTGAAACATGGCCAGTAAGAGTAGAGGATATTCGTAGGTTACTAGTATTTGATCATAGGTGTCTTCGAAACATTGCTCGTATATCCTGGGAGCACCAAGTAAGTAACTCAGTTGTTAGGAAACGGATACTAGGTAAGGATGGCGAATCAATTGAGGAAGTAGTGAAACTTAATCAGTTGAGATAGCTGGGACATGTGTTACGTATGCCCGACCACCGATTGCCCCGACTTGCGATGTTTTATGGTGTAGGAGTATGTTGGAAGAAAGCTAGGGGCGGCCAGACCAAAACATGGCACAAATCCATAAAGTCACTGACAAGTGGACTGAGCCATGTTGGTAGGTGTGGACTATCTGGTTGGGGTCCGCGAGATGATAGCAACCGATGGTTAGAGACCTTGAATGATATGTCTCAAAATCGTTTGCAATGGCTCAATTGCATCCACTATTTGTGTTCTCCCAAATTTTAATCTTCTGAATTCTTCATGTCCCTTTTTCTTTGCTTTCCAAATTTATTTCACTGGATTATACTCTTTGAATAACATCTTCAAACCCTAATCGTTCCGGTTACTGCTTATACTTTTACTACCTCTACCACTATGGGATTTGAATCGAGTTGTATCTGTGTGCTAATGTGGTTTGGCGACTCGAACTGATGTACGTACGTAAGACGTTCTACGTTGTTGATGACTGAATGATATTTTAAACTAGCGATTTACAGTGAAAAACATGTCGCTTTTCTCACAGTTTATAACATCAGTGTAGTTCATTTTCAAAGTATAACCATGATTACTGTTGCCAGAACATTTTAATTTCTGTACTTTGTATACTGATTTCTTTTTGGATATGATACATACGGTAGGGGAAGTTGATGACATGTTATCGTCTAGCTATAATTTAACTTATTGTAATAAGATATAAACGTTTACAAGATATCGTAATATGCCTAAAACTTATAATGGGTAAGCCTTGAATCTTTTGAATTCGAACCGTTAATAATCATCCGAGTTTTATTTCAGTTTACTTTTATGCAGAGAAGTCGATTCAAAGATTGTATGTTCTTCACCACATCATATTTCAACTCATTGTATATGAATATACGTATTCTTGATCTTGTGACTTCTAATATCTCTTTACTTGTTACCACTATCGTCTTTTATCACCAGTTTGAGATGTAGCTACTACCTGTTGATGATATATGATAATAGTAGTGACGTCTCAACGGTTTTCTATTGTTCTTCACAAACGTTACTAACTTCTAATATATAAACTTCCAAACATCGGAATTACCACATCAACGGTATTAAGCGATGGCTCAGTGGTGAGAGCGTTCGACTTTGAGCTATTACGTCACGGGTTAGAACTCCAATCAGTTCATGTCAGTTTATCAGTCAAACATGTCTATCCCTCACATTTGTAGCGTGATTAGAATTTTTACCTGGTAAGTCAGTTACTTCTGTTCTGTCATTGATTTTTTTCAGGAAATTTGCTCTTTGATAACATTGTGATTGACTTTCTTCTTCTTGCTGTTTAACACGTCTCATTTACTGATCTTGTTTTCTTTCGATTTTTTCACAGCTCCATGTTTTGGTGAGATATTTTTTCTTGAATCGTCGTCGAACACAACAACATCTCAGAAAGGTGCTGTTGCAATGAAACAGCTTAAGCGAGCCGCTTTCATTAGCATTTTCCTCCGTCAAAATTATTTCATTTCTAATCCTTCACTAATGTCAACATGTCAACACTAGTTCATGATAATATTATTATTACTTTTTCTAAAATATAACTTTTGCTTTTGTCAATAATGACAAACTTTATTTTTTACTTTTCTGTAGTCTCATTTATTTTATTATTTGTCCAATCTGAGTTTTGTCTTCTTTCATATTTCAGTTTATTTTGTTCTCTTTTTACATTACTATAGTCTTTCTGAATAAATAATAATAACCATTCCTCGAAATTTCATTTCACAATTCTCAGCGTTCGCCCTGTATGTGTACACCTGAACCGTGTTTTTTTATTTAAAAAAAAATAGAATAATACAAGGAAACAATACCAAACTGCTGATATTTACCCATGAATTCTATTATCATATTAGTTATTACATAATAATAAACAATGCTGTATGATAATATTCTTTCACGTTAGTAATAATAGTATGACTGATAGACAATAATCTCATGATGTATAGAGGACTATTTATAATCTCATTATTTCCATTTCTTGTCAATCTCAACTGATATCTAAATGAACTAACATTCCGTAATTTACGAAAGAGAATGTGTGCGTGTAAGAGAGAAAGTAAGGAGAGTGAAAATTCTCATGTCTTGCATAGTGTTTCTTCTGTTGTGTATGTTTACTGCCTGTTTATTATTTTCGCTGATTTATTTTTCTTGTTACATTCTAGTTCGGTCATTCATTATTATTATCCTGTTGTTTACACGAAAGTGATTCTTGTTTTCTGCATATAGTCATGTTCAGTAAGAACAAAATCAAAGTGATGGAAATATTTTCCTCAATATGAGATTGACGTGGTAAAACGGAAAAGCTTTGTGATTCACTTTTATTGAATTATTTTTATAGAAGAGTATCTTATTGATGAATGAGACAAATTGTCGATCGGTAAAATCAAAGAACAGAATACTGGTTAATAGGTGATATGCAATGTTATGTGTGATCAAGTGATGGCTATTGACAAAAATAAAATTGATTTACTTAAGTCATCAGATGTTTTAAAATTAAATATACAACTGAGATTGATACGTAAGCTTCATAGGTGGTTTACTTTCCGAACAATTAGGATCCTGGATTTTTCATTTTTTGACGTGTTAGTAAACCTTCGTTGGAATGACTGTAAAGTTCTCTGCTTATCAAAAGGAGATAAGGGATATCCATGTGTTTATGACATGGATTACATTTCAATAAATTTAAACAGGCTCCACAACCCGCACTGAAGATCATGTGCTCTTCAGTGCTTATCATCAAGAGGGAATTTACAGAGTTTCAGTGAGATGTGGCCATTCAAATAAATCTGTGTCGACTATGGGGAAGTTATCCACTGAAGACAGTGGAATATGTTCACTGAATTTCGTGGATATATTGAAGTTGGACGTTAAAGCCTTCGAATGCTGACTCAGTAGTCTAGAGGTTAGTCGTCTGCTCGCGGGGCGCTCATGGCGAGCCATTCATCTGACTGAAATCTCAACCAAACCATTCGCTGTTGGATGGTAGGCTTTTGTTTCAATGTGATTCACTTCCAAAAGTCTGGTAAACTGCAATAGGACGGACTGGGACCGAGGACTGTGATCTGTAGTAATAATTGATGGGACTCCAAAGTTTGATATACATTGGTCAAGAAATGCTAATGCAACTTCTGTCGATGTGTCTTTAATATGGAATGATATCGCCCATCTGGTAAACCTAACCAAAGCACTGAGAATATATGTGAAGAGTTCGATAGTGTAGGAGGACTAACGATATCTAGATGTACGTTCTGGAAGCGTCTGTCAAGTTGCTTAAACTTCACAAAGGAGCTGAGCGTGTGTCGTGGGACCATGTTACGGTGACACTTTGTACGTTTTCGTCTCCGCCTCTTTACACCCGCGTCAATTTTCGGCCAGATAAAACGACCCGTAATAAGTTTTCCTATGCCTGACGTCCTAGGATGTGAAAGTTCGTGTAATTGTTGAAAGACCCGTCATCGGCAAGCTTTAAAGACAAAAGGACGATTTCTACCGTTTTAGACCTCACAGATAATATATAAATCGGAGAAAGGAATTGGAATGAATTTGAGAGCCGAGTTGAACTTCTCTTTGCACGGTTTTACGTCTACATCGCTCACTTGTAATTTGGCTATAGTTTCGAGGTTTATATCTTGTTTTTGTACCGGCCCATTGATAGCTCTTCTGGATAGGGTATCGGTTACGATATTAAAGTGTCCTTTGATGAACTGAATAAGAATCGTAATTTATGAAATGTAATTCAACTTTCGCTCTTCACGTGGTGAATGTCGATCATATGACATATTAAAGGAATAACATAAAACATTGTTGTCAGTCATTATCGTAAATTAGCGTCCGTGTGATAGGTAATTTTAATGTTTTACCGCCATATCAATAGCTAGTAACTGACGTCCGAATATGCTATAACGTCATTGGGCTGGTAATAGACGTTGAGAGAAAAATGCTAAAGGTGTGATAATGTTATTTACTCGTTGTTGCAGTACCGCCATGACAGCTTTTTGAGATATATCGCTGCAGAGGATTAGGTGTGTTACAGGGTCAGAGTTTGAGTATTATAACACTGTAGCGTTTGTCATAATAGATTTGGCGCCAAGAAGTAGGGGCTTGCTTCGTGATGCAGTTTGATGATTTCCTTAATGTATGTCCTATCCACCTCCAGCGTCTTTTCCTTCTTTCCCCTTCAACTCGAAGCAACCGTAGGTTGTTGCGAATGTTATCCGAACAATGGGCATTGAATGCCTTACGTAAACAACTGTTTGCAAATACTTCTACCTCTATATAACTTCGGAGAACTTCCTCAAAGTCATGGGAATTTTTCGGGTTTTTGTGCCATTTCCCCAGAATTTCCCCTAAATTTCCCCAAAATTGGGATATCGGGATGATTATGGTTGTACTAGTTTTCCAAGTTTCAGCTCCATGAGTAGGACTGTCTTGGCGTTCATATTCATGATTCTTACTTCCATGTTGATTGACAATTGTTTTGAATTCCATATGTTCTTCAACCATAGGATTACTGTCCATGCCTTGCCAATTCTCACATATACGTCCACATCAGATCCTACTTGTTCATCGATGATGCTGCTCAATTACGAGTTTCTCCATCGATTATGATTGGGTTAGTGTCCTCTGTGTTGTATTTGAGGATGTTGCTTTTCCTTTTGTAAATGTTGAGGCCCACATAGGCAGAAGCTGCTACTACACTTGTTGTCTTTATCTGCATTTGTTCGTATTTATGAGATAGAAGGGTCAAGGCTTCTGCGAAGTCCAAATCTTCTAGTTGCGTTCAACTTGTCCATTTTATTTCATGTCTTACCTCAGATGTGAAGATCGTCATAATCCGGTCAACCACCAGAAAAAAGAGAAAGGTGGAGTGTAAGCAGTCTTGTCTGACTTCAGTCCTCAATTGAAATGCGTCTGTCTACTGTTCTCATTGTACGACTTTGCACTGTATTCTGTCGTAGAAATAGACACATGTGTTCGATCTTAAACGTTGAGTAAATACCAGACTGTTAAGTTTCTAAGGCAACTACTTTCCATCTTCTACTGTCCAAAATTATTTTTAAGCTCCTTTCTTACTGATTCTAAATTTAAGTCTTCTGAAAATTCCTATTCTTCTACCTTGCGCTATCGTGTGTGTGATAACATAAACATCTGCCTCGTGATACGACAGATAGTAGTTCCAGTAACCTAATAGGATCATAGCGAATTCTGTTATTTACCTTCGAGTTGTGTTAGCTCACAAATTCGTATGGTGCGGCAAAAACGGGCACGCCGTCTACCTTAGATACATCAAACTCTAGGGACCGAAGCTATGTGGATAGGTGTACAACACTAAGGCTTATAGCGTTGCAGAGACATCGTTTGGGACCATATTGTCGCCCCCGTTTGTTCCTAGAACTCTTTGTCCCGTTCCAGAAAATCTATAAAATAAAGTAAAAATGCTAAAAGACATTAAACGTCAAATAATTTCACAGGCGTTCAGAATGGACGTGATGATATTAGAATGATAAACGAAAAAAGCTATTTGTAACTCGACCCCTGAAAAGTTTGGACAGCATTATTCCCTTACACTGAAATACAGAGGTGTTACAAAAATGGTACATTGAGTCACATTGAACTAACCTGGTTAGTTCATCAAAGAAAAGAAGGCGATCTAACCATTAGATGCAACATCAGGATGATATCAGGTGGCGGGACTGCACCTGGATTAAATCACCTCAATGACTCAAATCCCCCTAAAACACTCTGGCCTCAAAGAAACTTAAGAATTACCGTTTTTTAGTGCAAATTAAAGGCTTGTATCAAATAAAATGGACGTAGAACTGACTTTTCACATCAATATATAGGCAAAAGCTCAATGAGTTATTGTATTTCATTATTTAATCTCAGTTATACATGCCACTATCATTCTTCCTTCATTATTTGCTGCTTCTTACTTCTATTGGGAGCATTCGAATTATGTTCTGTCTCTAGTTGGTGTGCCTGATTCTCTGAAATCCCTGCGAAACACTGGCCTGACTGCTATAATTGCACACAGAGTACCTCCGTTTAAATATAGACTATTAGAGATATAAGCTTATTATCGACCATATAGAACCGCGACGTGACAATAAAGAGCGTGAGTAAAGGATTCTAACAGTTTATACACCTTCATTGAGATATTGAATATTGTTTAAACATAGTGGATATTGAACACGTTGAGGAAATTTAATAGAGTAACGACTTAACGTGTGAAATCTTGGGATTGATCTCTTGGTGAATCTAATGGCTCTTGGAAGCACCTTATCACGCACTGTACAAAAGTATTTGAATTTGCATTCATTAAGTGCATCTGAAGCGCCTTCCAATTACAACAAGTCAGAGAGGAATCAGCAAATAATAAGTGATAAATTATCTCTAAAGAATTGCAAATTGGAAGAATCAGAAGACTTGTGCAATGTCGTGAGTTATTTTGAATATTTATTTGTTTTATATATCAGACATTTTCAGTAGGGTTTTGCTAAACGTTCCCATAATTTCAATTCAATAAATAGTGAGTACATGTACTTACTTTTATTACCATGGATGTTCGTGATAACGATCTCGTTAATCTCTCCCTCACATATTATTTGGGTGTTTTTCACTTCTGTATCTTGAAAGCAATCGATCAGGCGAATGCATATGTATGTAAAATTATAGTTTTCGTCATTCATTATTTAGTGTTAGGCAAAACCTTTTTTTAGTTTCTACAAAACAAGATTCTATGGTCTTTACTCTATCTTTGTACAAAGGAATCATCCATTCGGTTTTTTGAATTGAATTTGGACATAGTGGTTATCTTAGATCAGTCATATTATCCTTAGCCATAAGAACGGAACTCTGTTTATCTAGAAGCTCTCCTGTCTGTAAGTTGATTTCATAGTCAGATTTACATTCAGACTTGTGTAGCGAAAGCAGAAATCATGCTGTCTGTGTTTTTCTTTTTTCTAGTATGCCTCTGTCAGCGTCTGGTCTTCTTTCGAATGAGTCTAGTGTAGGTGAGGACACCACTGCCTCTGGTAACATATCCCAAGTATTGATAACTCGGTGCGAAAACCTGTTTGCCACTGATATTTTGTTCTCTCTTGACTCTTATAATCACCTGCTATGTTCTCTGAGTTGTCCCGATCTAGTAGGAAGAAAAAGAGAGAATACATCAGATCCACAACTATTTCTTAATATTCCACACATCAAAGTCAGATCACCTGTTAATCTGAGGTGGGACAGAGGGAAGAGGTCTAGCTTTTCAAGGCGCTCTTTATATGGTAGATCACAGAGTTCTGAAATCGCACGAGTAGATGTCCTATGTACTTATTTCATAATATCCAAGTCACATTTTAAACAGAGGATTTCAGTCTAGACGCAGTTTTCAAATTTAGTTCCCACTAAGATTGTGTATAATGTAATGACCATCATAGTACCTAACTTGGTAAATATCCATCTTTTAGCCCATAGAGTTCTAA